GCGCAAGGGGAGCAGTTAGAGGGTTGGGTGTCTTGCTCGGGGACACACTTCAACACGGGACAGATAGCAGTCTGGGTTCGAACCGCCAACCCTGCAGTTAACGCTGTAGTCCGTACATGGCTGGCGTTAAGGGTTAACGGGACGGAGGAGAAGTTGTGGCATTGTGGCGCATCATGGTACGGATGACCCGGTGGAAAAATTTGTTACCAGGCTCCTTGTCCACCATCTTCCTCCTCATCTTTGCTATCCCAGTGGCTCTGTCTTCCATCCTCCTTCCAAACATTCCGAGAATCCTTTTCTTCATCTGCGGGCCGATGTCCTCCAGGAGTTGCTGATCCTCCCCCAGCCCCAGGATCTTGGCCTGCTCTTCCAGAAGGCTTATCCTGTAATACTCTTTTTCTCACCTCTGAAACGCCAACTCTCGATTCTGAATATAAGACTCTTGCTTCCAGTTTACCTGGACCTGGAGAAGTTCGGTCGCCTTGATAGTAAGCAGACTTCTGCTCTCTGAGAGTTCTACCTCAAGGCAGTAGTTGGTGGACCTCCCTTCTTACCAGAATAATTTCCTCCTTCTGAATTTCTCTCTCATGATCTTTCGTCTGGAGATCTAGGAGACTCTCCTTCAGACTTGAGATGTCGAGCTCTTGTTTCTCAATGGTCTGCTGAGCCCTGTTCATTTTTGGCTTCATACCTTTGATACCTTTTGGAGATCTCTGAGTTTCTCTTGCAGGCTGAAAATTGTTAGCTCTAGCCTCTTGATGGTCCGCTGAGCCTCAGTCATGTTCTTCTTGTGCAGGTTCTCCAGATAACCTGGTGGGTTGTCCGGAGGTGGAGGTGGGAGGGAGGACTTAGAGGAGGCGGACAACTTAGACTCTCAATCCAACTTTTGCTCTTTCGCCTTTTTGATCATTTTGCCCAGCTCAAACTTGCGACCCTCCATCTTCCCAAAGATACCCAGAGGCAGATGTCCTCAAGGAGTTTTCTTTCTTCTTGCCATGTGTCCTTCTCCTTGCAGAGCTCGATGATCTGTTGTTTTTGGTTTACTTTAACTTCCTCCAAATCATTGATTCTCCCCTGACTCATCTGTAGGAAGTGGGCCAGACCCATTGAATCTCCGGGAGGCAATTCAGGGTCTCCTGGGAACCGATTGTGTGGCAGATACTCTCAGTCATGACTGTGTTGTGTGGTCTCTGTGTTGAACTGATCAAGACTTCGGGGTCGTTGTGGCGCAGGGGGTAGAGCGGGCACCTAACCCCTATTTGCTCCCCGGGCAAAAATGTAAAAAAAGCCATGGGTTTAAAGTGTAATGTAAGTTGCTTTGGATAAAAAGCATAATGTAAAAGACTTGGTCAGAAGATAAAATTAACAAAAAGGGAGCCTGGATCAAACATCAGAGCCAAACGGAATTAGCTGGTTCCATTCATGATGTCACAGCATTAAAGAACTTTTTTTTCTATTATAGTTTTTAGATTTTAGTGTTGTATTATAGATTTTAGTTTTTTTTCTAAATTTAACTTTTTTAGTTTTTATTTATTTAGACCGGCAGCTTATTGGCCAACAAAACCTTTCAGTTCAATGAAATCCCTCCTAGTGGAATTAAATATTTCTGGTTGAAAACTACAACTCTGGGTCCACATAATCGGTTTTAATTATAATGTGTTTGTCTGTGCGTTCACGTTTCTTCAGTGCATTAGCGAAATAACCACGTATTCAGAGGAAATTGCAGGTGAGAGAGTTCAGATAAAAAGGGCCCTCTGAACTTCTGTCTGTTTGGTGCATGTGATGTTTGAACAGAGAGTGCTTATAGTTCAAACAACCTGTTAAGTCTTCATAAGAGTTCCACTGACATCACCTCTTAAAAGGTTAAAGTCACACTGATGGTTTAAACATGATCATTTTCTTGATTTGTTGCTGTAAAAGGGAGAGGATGTTGGTTCACAGAACATTTTCTTAAACAAGTTAGGTACATTAAAATTTAACAGCAAAAAAGTGTAAACCTGATTTTGCAAGGAGGTCTTAAAATCACAAAGATTTACTTTTTTTTTTATTTTGCGTCACATTATGTACGTCATGCTGGGAGTCTGACATGAGGTTGTATGTGAAGGATAATAACACAGTTAACAGATTGTAGGTTTATCAAAACATACAGGTGGTCGGCAAAGCCCTCATTGTCTGTGAAGCCAAAAGCCTTTGTGTTGGAAACCGTGTGTTCATGCTTCATTCAACAGTTTGAACAGTCATGGCCCGGCCTGACACGCAACGGACTCAAGTCTCACGGCATGAAAACACAGAATGACCCCTCCTCCCCCCAGCACACAAGATCAGATAGCCGCTCCAGCACCAAGAGGACGGTATTAATCAAGTATCATCTCCCCACATGGTCAGATTCAATCTTGTTGAGACAAAAACGTAAGTGGTAATTATACAAAGAGAGGGATGATAGTTTAACCTTTCATTTAGTGGAACATACAATAATATTTATTTAGGTTTTCTTGCTCTTTTGGTATAACACAGCACGTGCAAGCGTCATTGAAAAATCAATAGTCAATAGAGGACTTCATTGCATTTTTGCACAGCTCAATTATCATTTTTTGGGGAAGTCATTGATTTTGAGTCGAAGAAGGCAAACAAAACAAATACTCACCCTTTAAAAATGGTACCAAGAAAAAACGAATCATCTGTTAGCTTTACTATCAGTTATGTTAGCATGGATACATCTACACATCGTGGATTGACTTGACATCTCCACCAGCACACTTACTGTTCCACAGACAGTCTGATGTACACACGCAAACACAAAGAACGGGGGTGAAGACACAATACCAGAATTTTGAAGGATTTGCTTTTGTCTCGTAGTGTTTTCCTTAGGCTGATTTTGTGCTTATGTCATTTGTAAAACACAAAACATAAACGCTCCAAGCAGCAAAAGGACTCTCAGACTTGCCGCAGCAGTCTTTGGCCTTTATCGTGTTTTAACTGGCAAAATATAAGGAGAGCATAATCTTTTTTTTACAAGATTGGATCCGTCACAATAAAAGATGTGTGTGTTCAGCTGAGAAGAGGTTCAATCCTACACAAAAACAATAGCTGTGAAGCACTGTGTCACTCATGTTTTTTTTATCTGTCCTCTGCCCTAATAGATTATGCCAAACATGGCTGAAAAGGAAATTAGTCTAATGGGTCTCATTGGCCGTGGCGTGAGTGGGCTGCAGCTGGTTTGCTTACTCTGCTTGAGGGCCACGTTGCGAGGACAGTGCATGTGTCGAGGTCCTGCTAACAGAACAATCTGCAAACAGGCTGGAACACAAACACAGATCAACACTAAAGAGCCGAGTAAAGAGGCAGACTGAGAAAGAGGCTGGGCCTTAAAGACACATTATGCTGCATAACTGGTCTGAACCTGAGCTGCTTTTCAGGTACAACCAGGTATCAATGAACTTGTCTTTTAGGTTCAAGAAAAGTAATGTTGAAAGTCGGATGTTTATCTTTCTCTGATGAAACAAATTCTGTCTTTCAAATCATTGCAATGAGAAAAACCTTTTTTTCGTTTTTTAGCACTAGTACCAAATGTAGTAAAAAAAAATGTTTTCCCAGGGGTGAGAACATGATATTCCCTCCATGATGTTTTTGTGCAGTCAGCATTATTTGGCGGTGCCATGTTCAATAAACTTGCATGCATGTGTGCTGTCATAACCATTGCACGGGAACACACTGGCTTAATTACTGACCAACAATGAAGGGGGGTCCGCCTGGTTACACAAACCCGTTGATCAAGCACAGAACAACCAGGCTTAAGTACTCCTATCTGATTTCATCCCCAATGCCCTATACAGAGCGTTAAAAAAAAAAGGTAATCAGTGGAGGTAGGTTTTAAGTTTCACATGAAACCATTGCAAACATCCCGACCTAGAAGTATATGTCTATATGTTCAACCTGTTCGGACATTGTGTAAAATGTGTATTTTTTACTTTTTTCATTTCAGGTATTAAAGAGGGAGAAATAAATGATTTCAATGGCAAACGTCTGTATCGTTGTTTTAATGTTTTAACTATAATTTGAAAGTGATGGCTCATGTAGCTGCATGCAGTGTCAAAAAGTTAAAGAAATAATTAATTCAATAGATGATTTACTCAGTTAATAATATGCTGGCACTGTCTTGTGAGCATGAATCGAAAAAGTAATTTTCTCCCTCCACACAGATTGAGAAGAGAAGGTAAAGGTGGTACGTGATACGTGATTCAGGTGTGACAGTGGTTGAGTCACAGACGAAGGCATCTATCTTTAGACGGCCTGGGGGTACTTTAATTAACACAGAGACAAAGTTTCACTGGATGGCTCCAGACACGAGTAACACCGAGCTTTTCTTGTAGTTTTTTTTTCTTCTCTCATTGTTATTTTTGTACATTGTTGCCTGCGATGTCTCCCCCAGGAGATGTGTTTATAAGGAGGAAAATAATCCAATACCATCCTGTTGGAATCTAATTTTAACAATAGCACTGCTTCTAAATGTGTTGTATATTTAGCATCTCTGGCTTGTTTAGTCTCTTTAACTGGACGCAGTCTTTCAATCTGTTCGCATATGATAGTTGGCACAGCCAAATGTTACAACATTCTTCTTGCTGCAGCTTGTATCTTAAATACAGCCAAATGTACTTTGTATGCGTGTTGCTTTTTTTGTGACTTTTAGCTCCCGACGGATGACTGTGACATAAGGACGACCTTATCATTTTGTAAAAATAATAAATAACATGATTACAATATTTAAACTCTGCTGTACAGTTGAAAAACAACCTTGAGTTAATTAGGTATGCGCATTATGAGAGCAAAAACTGCACCATTCCAGCATTGTGTGCTTCACCCGTGCGTTCTCCTCTCCCGAGGGAGAGTAGGTAAACAAGCTATCTTCCTTACTTTCGTTTGATGAAACCTAGACAAGTCTGACGTACACACACAAAAGACACATTAACATTATAATATCGAGTCTCGCACCACATCTCCAAACCGGCGCGTGACGCATGACGCATTCAGGCGACGCGCGGCACACTTCCCCTATAAATCCCCAGCCTGCTCCACTCTGGCTTCAGAAAGACAGCGAGGTCAGAACGCGCACATCACAGGGAGGACTTGAAACCATCTCCTGCCACCGCAGCACAGACCTCCGGGTGCGACCTGCTGCGAGAATGATTAAGAAAATGTCCCAATGCGAGAATGAGTTCAACATACCGGCCAAGAATTGCCACAGGTTGGTGATCATGGGCTCCACTAAAGTCGGCAAGACAGCCATCGTCTCTCGCTTTCTCAACGACCGAGTTGAGGACCAGTACACACCCACCATTGAGGACTTTCACAGGAAACTCTACGGCATCAGGGGAGAAGTTTATCAACTGGACATTTTGGACACGTCCGGGAACCATCCGTTCCCTGCAATGAAGAGGCTTTCGATTCTTACTGGTGAGTGGAGCCTTTAAAACGTCACACCGATAGCACAATGCGCAGTGGATGTGCTGCTTTTAAACTGTTATTATTGCTCGTCATTGAACGTGCCTTCCGTCTTTGTTCCTCCAGGTGATGTGTTCATCTTGGTGTTCAGCCTGGACAGCAGAGACTCCTTCCAGGAGGTCCAGCGACTGAAGCGACAGATCCACGAGTCCAAGTCGTGCCTGCGAAACAAAACCAAGGAGAACGTGGACGTCCCGCTGGTGATCTGCGGCAACAAGTGTGACAGAGACTTCTACCGGGAGGTGCAGGAGGACGAGATCGAGCAGCTGGTCGGTGGAGAAGAGCACTGCGCTTACTTCGAAGTATCGGCCAAGAAGAACACCAACGTGGACCAAATGTTTCAGACTCTCTTTACCATGGCCAAGCTGCCGAACGAAATGGGCCCCGGTCGCCACTGCAAGGTCTCTCTGCAGTACTGCGAAGTACTTCGGCGAAAGTCCCTCAAAAGCAAGAAGTGCAAAGACGGGAACGCGTACGGCGTTGTGGCGCCGTTTGCGCAGAGGCCCAGCGTGCACAGTGACTTGATGTACATAAAGGAGAAAGCTGTAGGAGGCAGCCGGGCTAAAGACAAGGGCTGCACCATATGCTGATACATTTTCTTGGGCCTTTTTCGGCAAATGACTTGGTGAGACGTCCCAGAGCTGAAGCGTCGCTCATGAGCGTTCGGGGCGCATGAGTCCAAATACTGTAGAGACTGCAACGCCTCAAGAGACGCACTGGGATCCAAACTGTGAGGAGACACCTACATGGGGGGAGGAAAGGGGCTAAGCTCATAGGCCCGTTCCCGCAGTAGATGCTGAGAAAATCCTGTAAAATCTGCCTCTGTATTCGATTGCCGAGATGGACACATGCAGGGGGAAAAAAAGATTACAACCCCCAACACACACACTCTTGTTGGACTGTGAATGTTTTTGGCATTACGAACAAATTAGAATCCAATTGTGTATTTATTATGTCCATATCAGTATTTGGATAAGAGAGAATAAAGCTTGTTACTTTCCTAGTCCATATTCCTCGTGTCTTTTCCTTCAAGTGAAGTTACACCAAACATATGTGCGATATGCAGCATGACCCCTGGGATGTTAATTCACCGATAAATAGTCTTGACACTGTTTCAAGGGCCCCTCACTCAAAGTGCAATGCATCTGCCACTAATACATCTGTACATATGTGATACTCCACTATTGACTAAATGGTTGACTGGTCACTTTAATTACATTTTATGTCAAAAAGATGCTTGGACTAACTAACAATGAAGCAGGCTGAAAATACTGTAGAAATCAAAGAGGCTTTAAAAGACACTAGTTGATGATCAATGGTTTTATTACAAAACATTGCAGTAAATAATTTACTGAAAACGACATTAAATACAAATACTATAAACTAAGTTTGCATTCTCGTAAGGCAAAAGGGGAAAGTGCGACCAGACGACAGATGCACTTTAGGGAAAATAAGTCCTTGTTCATTCAAATGTCCTCCCGGTGTTCTTGAATGCCACATCTGCTGAAACCGAACCAGTCTTTTCTTTCTTGTAGCAATCAGGTCCCCCGCTTTCACGATGCTTTCGGCACGTCGAACATGCAAAGGCTCTTGTATTTCTGCAGGAGCTGGTTCTTGGTTTGGACCTGTTCCCGCAGCGTGGCGAGCTGCTGCTGCTGCTCCGGCGGACTGCTGTCCACGCCGGGCATGTTGGATATGAGCTCCCGAGCCTCCTGGATCTTTGCCTTCAGCTTGGCCAGTTCTTGGTGGACGTCCTGGCTGTCCTTGTCCATGCTTAAAAACACAGCGGTAGGGAATTCGTGAACAATGTCTATGGAAATGTTGACTTAACGCGATCTTTTCTAGTCACCCCGCGGGAACGAGCTAACGCTAGGTTGCGCTAGCAGCTCAATCAAACTTGCTAACGTTAGCTCCCCAAATTGTTTACGACAAAAAAGAAGTAGTTCTTCACAGAGCAAACACGCGAATCGGGCGGTGAACTTACCATTTGATAATATCGTGAACTAAAGGCAGCAGAGAGCAATCCTCGCTCTCTTTCTCTTCTCTTGGTTGGGACGCCGCCATCGCCATCTCTGCTTTGCGGCGCGGACAGTTTACGTCACGCGTCACCTTGTGACGTCGGTGAATTAAAAAGCAACACTGCCTTGTTAAGACGTGACCCCTTTAGTTTAATTCGGGTTGCGTATGTGTAACACTTGAGGAATTACATTCTGACGCCTACAATAGCCTTCAACTTTAAATAATGACAAAAGAAAATACCTGTGATTTTCACTCGTTACTTTTGTCACTTCCTGTTCGCTAGTGCACTTTATATTTACATTTTTTTTATATTTTTAACTTTAACTTTATCATTTTATTTTAAACTAACCCATAGCCTTATTCTACTAACCTATAGCATCATCCGTTTATTTAGTTTTATTACTCGTGCACTGCTGTCTTGTCGTCTATTGTCATACTGTCTACTGTCATACTGCCGACTGTCACGCACCAACCGTCAAGTCAAATTCCTTGTATGTATGACATATTTTGGCAATAAATTGTGCTGGGTCATCACAAATTTCAGGAAACAGACGTAGCGGGTTCTTTATATTGATTTATCTTATTGCTAAGCTGTGCTTAAATATCTTGATTCCAGGACTTTTCTCACCTAAACATTTTTCTCATACTTTATAACAAATACAAATAATCATAGATGTCATAAAACTATACTTTGGAGAGGCTTAAGCCTCACATATACATATCCAATATACATGCGACATTGCTCTATATGTGAGACCCTCCCACAAATGGATCCTCTTTTGAATAAAACCCCTTCACTTTCCCTGATACAGGCCACACAGTCTCTCTCACTGGAGAAAGAAACCTGAACTTTAGATAACTGAGAATAATGCTACATGTCACTACTTAGCAACCTTAAGCATCTATACATAAATTCATCCTCCTTTGCCTACAAGTGTGTTCCAACTGGCAGCGTGTATGTGGATGTAAACATGCAACAGTGCCTAGTCTTAACGGATTCCAATGTCTGCCCTATCGATCGGTGTAGACTTTTATTGAGGTGAATTGTTTCCATTTGGTTACCCATCAACTTTGTTTACAGACATGACTTAGATTAGATTAGATTAGATTAACTTTATTGTCATTGCACAGAGTACAAGTACTGAGGCAACAAAATGCAGTTTAGCATCCCACCAGAAGTGCAAAAAACGTATTCACGTTGAAATGTAAATAATGCCACATAATAAAAGGGAGACCAAAATCAAATACGGACAGGAAAGCATCAGCCATACTTCCTCTCAAATATAGCTGGAAACGTGCAGATACATTCTCTCTCTGCAGTGCAGTGGACCATCATTTCCTCAACCTTTGACTGACCCGTATGTCTGTCGTCACAGGCCTCCATCCATGTAAAGCAGAGGCTGCCGCAGGCCACCATTGGCATGCAGCCGCTTTGCAAATGAGTAAACAAACTAGTTTTTTGGAAATGTTGAAGATGAATAGCAGATAGCCTCTTTCACAGCCATTGGCAGTTGTGTGGCTTGTTGCGTATGAGATAGCTCCACTTAGTGTTTCCCTTTACCCCTGTTGCACAAAGACATGCTCTACTCTGCCCTTGATGGATGACGCACTCGCTGCCTTGTGGTGGGAGGTTGTGATGTGTGACTTCATCTTGGATGTGGATGTTTCGATAACGAAAGCTGTCTCATATGTTGCTCTCATATATGAATGCATTGTGCGCATTATGGGGGTTTCGTTTTTAGTTTCAATTTTTCTATGAGGCCGTAATTTTCCTTCATGTTAAACCAACGTCTATACGGCACGTTGATCAATAATATGAAAATGATTTCCAAAACACTGCTTTAAAAGTTTCTCGCCACTAATAATTTGGACATATTTTCTTTTAAGAGATTGGATTTGGTCTCCTAAACGTCACTGACCAATATCCATTTCCACAGCTATATGATTTAATTAAAGAACAGAGCCAGCTGTTAATCCCATTTGTCCCCCTCACACACACATTACTATTCACACCATGGGAAAAAATCTCATTAACCACCACAGCAGAGCGACACAGCTGGAGAGGAACTTCTGGCTGTTCGAGACCTACCTTATTAAACTTTTTTGGTCACAACTCTGACTGAGTGGTAGCTGTGAGTTTACCACACAGCTAAACAATCATTCCATGCTCGTGCTGATTAACCCTCATATAAGGAATTTCCAGAGATGGAGATCTCAGTCTCCAGGGTATTATGTGGATGTGTTTTAACTTTTCGGTCATTGGGACAGCTCTGACGGAAAAAATAGGTAATTTTCTGAGCTGGGAAATTTATGGAAATGTGTGTGTGTGTGGGTGGTTAGTCCGGTTCGTACAATTTCCTGTCACGGAAATAGTAACTTTGACCTTTTTGCGTTCTACAACAAGATAAAATAAGTTTTTGTATCCCTGTTGGTTTGCATCACTGATATCTTTGCTAATTAGAAACAAACTATTTTACATATAAGAAAAAAACTATAGTATACTGTTTCATATCTTCGATAGAGCAAGTAGATATAATGCTGTTATCACCAATCCACATATGCATTCTCTATCAGGAACATTAGTAATGGTTTGGAAAAATATTTTGCTTGTCAAGCTATGTAGATTCTTATTTAATGTAAAGCATAAATGAAGTTATTCATTAATTCTAATCTTTTCTTGTTCATGTGTGAATTTGCCATTAAAATAAAACTTTAAAAATAATTGTTTCTGTAGATTATTTTAACTGTTAAAGAAGCAATGCTTCTGCCACAGAGCTTCTAAAGTTAGAGCTTTTGTTAATGCAATTACATTTTTATTTGTATATCTGTTAATATACACCCCTTATTCACACTTTCTGGGTTCTCCTGCAGTTTATCCTTCGCTCATCTTAGCAACGACGTAGATGGTGGAAGGCAGAAATTACATTTCCTTGTTTATGGTTGACTGAAATATAATGTTCAGTTTAAAAGCCCAATGAACTACCATTTAATGAATTAGGAATTAGGAATAAAAATGCCTTTGTCTCTTTCCCTCTACTCAGTATAACAGTCGTTCTTAAACATGTACAAGTAGGATACAGTATCCTTTATCTTCAGTCAGTATCTGAATTGGTATTCCTCCGTGAGAACATGTGTCGTTTCTCCCATTGAGTCCATAATAAACATCATCATCTAGTTGTTCTGTTAAAACAGTAGGTGACTGAAGCTTAAAACTTGGACTAATAGGCCTCTTGAACCAGTCTTTCCTTTGTCTCTTGACTTTTTGATTCTAAATCAAATCGAATCAAACTCTTCAATAACATATCATGTTTCCTCATACTCACAGTTCTCATCTGGATTTGTTTTTGTTCTTGAAAATGACAACAAATGAAAAAGATAACCTAACTAACACACTGGAAGCACAATACAGTTCATTATTTACTTTAATTTATATTCCTTATTACACTAACAATAACACATTTTCTCTCTTGAATCAAGTTAGGCTTGCACTGCCCCCAGGTGGAGGTCGAGGGTATCACAATTCCACAAAGAAGAACCCCCCCCATTCAAAATAGGACTATAAATCATTATAGAGACAGATCCCTGGAAGTCAGCGAGTAGTTCAGAACATGTGATGGGGTAGTTTGTATGATTTTGTAATGGGGTAGTAGTGTGATGATGGATGTGAAGGGTAAACAGGTCATCTGCTTCCCCTGGGACATCTCGCCTTCTAAGAAATCTACTTTGGAAGAAAAAAGAACATGATATACATGAGTTGTCCATTATATTTGTTTCTTTTGTGTTAACAAAAGTAAATTAGCACTCGTCGGGGAAGCCTTTCTTGTTGATCGGAGGTTTGTGATTGTATCTAATTTGAATTTCTGATAATCCCTGATTTCATCTGAGCATCTGCCTTGCAAAGGTTTGGTCTCCTTGTCGATCCAAGCAGACGTCCTATTCGAGACATGTCCGTCCCTGGTGAGAGAAGTCTGCGCTCCGGTCCAGTTAGCACATCACAACATCTGTATTCATGAAACAATGTCTAATTGAGTCACGTATGCTCAGTGACTAACACGCATTCAACACACTACCACTAGGTGGTAGGCTTCAATGATGGTATTTGTGGATTGGATGTTTACTATTATAAATAAGGGACGATCGCTTGATGATGTTCTAATTAAACACGCAGGCCCCGTTTAAACTCTTTAAACGGCTCAGAGTCAAATAAATTGCAATCCTGAACTGACGCTTATGCGCACGTGGCGGACATATACGCTCACATGAGCCATAAGACGGTGAAAGCATCAACCATATCAATCAAATATGGTTGATATAAAGGTAACAGCAATAACAACTGAGTTTCGGAAAAAGCGACAGCATTTAGAACAATGTTATGAAATGCATCCTCGGCTTTACATTCCACTTTACACGGAGAAGCAGGTATTTGTTGTCGAGGTGACCTCATCTACGATTAAAAATCCAACAATCACCCCCACACGGAACACGTTGGAGTGAAAAACAAGCACACCCAACGTGCCCCGAAAGCGACGTGATGACGCAACGTCTTTGTGTACGCTAAACACGGTGTACGCTGGGCGGGCATTGTGAAGCTGTAGTTGAGTGTTAGCAGGCTAACTGGAGAAAGAAAGCTAACTAATCGTGAGAGTGGAGCTAACGTTTAACAAAAAGGCAACTGTCAAAACAGCAAGGGGAGCAGGATTTTTTTTTGTCAAGTGATAATTCTGCTAGATGACTACATGAGCTGAGACGTGTTGCTAGCTGATCTTAGACCGTTGTTTGTCTTGATGCCCGAGGAGCATTTTTGGATACTACATCGATTGTCCCATTTCCAAACGGAAACCATTTCTGGACAGACAGTTCGTGCTTGCTATCTCGCTAGCTAAGTGAATCATCCAGGAGACTTTCCATTGTCACCTAAAAAAAAAAAACTCAAACCGAATGTTTTGTCTGTCATGAGTCCGGCCGGGTGCTCCCATGTGAACGGTTATAAGGTGGACAATTGGAAACAAAATCTTCGAGTCATATACCAATGCTTTGTTTGGAGTGGTACTGCTGAGACCAGGAGACGCAAGGTAAAAAAACCAAACAGGAAACTGCAACGATACCTAATCAGGAAAACAAAAAAAAGTGAAATGTTTTTGAATATGGCACAGGCAGACACACGCGGAACTGGAGTGCCCCCCCCCCCTCCCACGTGAAGTACGTGGTACCACTGAACGAATTGCGGTGTCGGTGAAACTCGTGCAGCAGTAATGTCGCTAGTGCAAAGGGGCTAACCGGCTAACGTTCGGTTATCACCGGCAAGTTAGCTAGCGCGACTCGACACGACGAGCCGCGGCATCCGGTGGCTTCTTCGCTTTAAACGGAGTCCCGACGTTTTTAATTTTGCTCTTGTACTATTCCGAGGAATTGTTTTAAAAAAAAAATTTAAAGTCGTTTTTCGTTTGGCCCGGTTTTCTTAGCCCAGCGGTTCCGTGTGGCGGATGCTACCCTGTTAGCTGCGTGGCTAAACTTGGGCTTTGAGGGGAGTTGTGGCCGTGAGCGAACATTACCGCACTAAATGTTCCCGTAAATACCCCCCTTCGCCCCCCGGCGCACACGTTAGCGGCTCCCTCCGTGGGCATCCCAGGACAATGTCCCCAACCCAACCCCCCCCCTTCCCGCAATGGTCATTCCCTCACAAGTTTTGATGCTGGGACATCAGCTGATTACTTCATTGCCAATTTCCTTTTGGGCTTATCCCACACCTGCTCGGCCTCCACGGCTCCGAATAGCTCCCTACAAAGTGATGTCATCACTGGACCGTGTTGCAGTTTCTTTCACCTCTCACACCTCCTCTTGTGTTTTTTTGTTTGTTTTGTTTGTGTGCCGCGATGCTAATGAAGGAGAACTTTAATGCTTAATTTGTATTCTAGATTGACTTTTGCAGGTTGCCTGATGCAAACCAATCCATGCTTCACTTAAACATGTCATACATTTTATGTCGTTGTGATAAAATAGGTGCTTCAGAGTGATGCAGGATGGACAGAGCTGGTGAGTTGAATTCTCCCCCTCCTCATCTTCACTGACATACCGTAGTTCAGACGATATAGGAACAGGCTTGCTTTTCTATCCTCTCCCATCTTTCTGTGCGCCTCAGTGCCTTTTTTTTCTCCATTAAATGGACTGGATATTAGACGTAAAGCTGCATAGTGGGAGAATTCAGCCCCGTCCTTGTATCTGCTGGGATGCCCAGTTACAGCCAGAGATCTCTGGGTGGGATGGTGGACTGTGAGCAGAGCGCAATTGCATTACGGGCATTTCAGAGCAAATCGCCTGCGCAAAATGGTTGAGACTTTTGTTTGTTGCAATGTCTTCGTGCCACGCATTGCTTTGGAAAAAACTCTGAACAGAATGAAAGTGTGCTACAGAGCACTCGGAAAATGCATGAGTCACATGAAGTAAAAAAATAAATAAAGGAAGTGTGGTGGTCAACCGTTTTACCAGCATCTTTTACATGTTAATATCGTGAGTTTAGGTTCGTCATGTCAGGAATGCAATCAATGAGAGCTCCGTCAGTGTTTCAGGGACGCTTTCTATTGCTCAATTACTTGCCATTCATAGTGTTCTGCCCAACCTTGTGGGCTTATTAGCTAATCACATGGCTACATGCTCGATGACTCCCCAGATCCTGAGCCGACCATTGTAAGTCTTCAGTTAGACGGCATTTAAGGTACATTTTGAATGGTCACTTTTAGTGGACAGGTTGTTAGTAGGTTTCTGTACACGTTAGATTCGTCATTGGTAGTTTAAATCTGGATTGTATTTTAGTTTTAGGTGCCAACTCCTCCATAAGTCCATCATCCGTCACTGCCGTTTTTTAATTCTTAAAAATGAGCACCACCTGGTTCTACTCTCATGCCACAGCACCCCAGGAATTTTGAAGTAACTACTGGTATTGACAACATTGCTTAGGTGAATATTTCTTTAGAAAAATATTGCATATTTTTGTCTGTATTGTCAGTGAAATGTTATTTATTGATTTTATCTTTTCTGGGATTGGACATAAGATTACTGTTTTTTTTACAATTAAAAATGAAATAGGAAGTTCCTGTATTAAACGTTCTCCCTATATTTTATCTGAAAGACTTTTCCCCTAAACCTTTTTACCAACTAGCCGCTCCGGCGTGCAGAGCAGGTGCAGTGCTGCTCCAGAGGTACACAGCCAGTGTCGTCCCTGATCGTGTTCAGCTTCGAATCATAAGCTTGGAGACGATGCGCCACCAACGTCACGTTCTGGGGTCTTAACGTTGTGGAATACTATTATGAATCCTTTGCTGGGGTGCTGAACCGAATGTTTGCATTAGTGATGAAACAAAAGCTCATCACTGCGCTGCTTGCAGCTCATCTGTCTTACCGCAGCACAATAATGGCAAACGCACCTCAGGCGCTGTAGTACAAGAGGCTCCTTTCCGCCCAGAGGGAAGCTGAAAGCCGAGGCCATTCAGCGACTGATGAATGAATGGAAAAGCTGCGTTTATACTTTGTATTCAGAAGTAGTTTGATTAGCGGGTGCCTTCTTTTTATCCTGAATCACTGTTTTCCACCCCACCTTTTTTTCCCCCTTTTCCCATTGTCTTTTGTCAACGACCTCCCTCCAACCTGTCATCCGCTCTACTGTAAGCTACACTCAATTCCCACGCCACCATGTGCGGGAACACGGGTGAAAAATCAGTCACCTGCTCTGTTTTGCGCAATCTGAAACCCACACGGCTAACAAATTGGTAGAATGAGCGCCAGAGACGGGAGTTGGCAGCGATGACATCGCAACCCGGCGTGTCTTGGGATCTGCCATCCTTAATCAGTGCACATTAGTTAATAATAATCCTTTTGGGATGTTGGGCCTGAATTGAATTGCCTCATTAGCTTACGGTATGCGTGTCAGTTTACTCTAATGTTGTGTATGAGAGGGAACACGCTGCTTTGAATGGTATTTTTACCTCAGTGGCACATTTGAAATGGTTGTTTTTTGTCTTTTTTTTTGTGTATGTGTGTGTAAAAACGATTCTCTATTGGCACTAACTACACCTGCACCATTTGTGTGACATAGTGGGTAAATGGTTTATCGTTATATTCTGTTCCCGTTGAGGTATTGCCCGGACGGGAGGCTCCCACCGCGTCCACTCCGGTTGTGTCACGTTACAAAAGTTGGCTCCCTTTCCTATGGCAGGGGAGCAACTATTGTTCTCACTTACTTCCTCTTCTACCTTTCCGGGAACCGTACTTGGTTTCCTGGCTCTCAATCTATTGTAATACCGTGTGAGTGTATGTTTAACTAGTCCAGCGAGCTCCTCTTTTAAATACGGCCCCCCAGCCTCAGTGCGTCCTTGTGGGCAAAGAGCCGTTCCCTCTCCTTAACGTCGATGCGGCCGTGCCCCGCTTTGCCACGTGCCATTAAAGCAGACTTGTGCAGGAGGATGTCAGGCACAGCGTGGAGATAAAAAGCTGTCGTTGCTTTTAACCGTTGACTTCACCCCTCTTAAGGCCCAAGTCATCTTCATAATTGATAGTTGGTGGGTGGCTATGGCAGCGAAGGCATTGAGTGAATATTCATGGTTATTTGTTTTCACGTGCTCCTCCGTCCAGTTGAAGAGGTTTTCTGCCGCCCGTAAGAGGAGGTCCTACGCCTACTAAAACACCGTGGCAGTAAAGGAATCTGCCTGGCAGTTAAACCGGCGCTATTACCTCAGGTTGAGTGGATATCACATGAAATGAAAGTGGGCGGGGCTGGTGGGATTTTACAACCATAACTTCTTTTGAAGAATCTGCTTGTCACTTTGATTTAAGGGCTGTGGGTTGTGATTAAAGAGCTGACTGAAGTCTGCTTTTATTTTTTATCTTCTGGTTTTGATAAATCATGAATGATCAGAGGAACCGCAATCCCCCCCCCCCCCCCCTCCCTCCCTTTTTCCACCAGCGCAACCCCTTGCTCTGCTCCTGTTGGGGGAACATGAGAGAGATGTCGTTTGCTAGATGTTTCAGGGAATTTCAGAAGTGGAAAAATTGATGTTTCTCAAGGGTGACACATTTACTTCCTCCTTTCACTCTTTTCTGCCTCCTGTTCTTTCACTTCAGAGTCACACACACACACACAAAAGGCACTGAGGCACAACCAATCCCAGAAAGCGGCTGATTCCTGTGCTGTGAGCAGATCTTTGTCGGATCGGTCTCCATCACATCACAAGCCTTCTTTCTGACTCATCAGCATACGTTTGTAGCATCAGGATCTATTCCTGCAGCCTCTTCACGGCTCTCGCTTGTTCCTCTTCTGTGCTCCACTCCCACACGGTTTCTTCCTTGCCTTTTCTTTTCTTTTTTTTCCTTCCATCTGCAATCCTAGGGTGTCTCACAACTCATTTCCTTTTAATTATCCCATTAAATGTGTGCATTAACATACATACCGTTGGTAAGTTAGAATTCTTAATGAGATTACAAGGTATCCCCCATCCTCCTAGTCTGTTTCCCTCATCGCTCTGCCTCACAGAAAATACTTGGAAGCGGAGGGGGGGGGGTTGTAATGTCATTGGTTTATGGCCGCCCCCTTCCAGCCCTATTTTTTTTCATGTCTGCGTGCTCTTTGTCAGACTAAACAAATGACACGAGGCCCATAACCTCCTGCCTTTAGTAATGGGCCAGGGGTGTCGCCTTGCGTTCTCCCCTTTGCATGCTGTTGCCTGCCGATTGTTCAGCCTCAGATCATCCAGCCTCGCATTGATAATCGGCATCTAATTTAATAGGGAGAACTGAAGGCGTTGTTATGTGCTTGAAGTATACAGCGTTTTCACCGGCTACTCTTGACGGTGTAAAATGTTGTCTTCAAAGCAGTGGTGGAGAAAAGAATCATGAAGAAAAAACGTTTTATTTTGGGCACAGTTATATAGTATGTTTAGTGAGCATATATGCCGACGAGGCTTGAGGATTCGTTATACATTTTAGAATATAGCAGCCACAACTTCACTTTGACTGATTTCTTCATCTGACATTTCGTTTCTTCTTCCTCCCTTCAAATGGAGACACTTTCCCTTTTTTTCCTCCTCTTGACTGTCCAGCAGTCTTTGGAAAGGCATCAGTGCTACAAAGCGTGCTGGCCAATGAGACTGCTGTCCGCCCCTCCCATAGTACCACCATCTGTCTAATGAGCTGTCAATCACCCCCCACGGGCCGGCCCAGCCCCAAACCAAGAGGCAATCAATCTTTTCTAGTGTGGATACTGAATTGTTCCCGATTTATTAAAACAACTTTTTCTTTGGGGATGACAGTGTGAAAATGGCTTTTGAAGATTGTGGCTTTAGACCCTGCTTGGTATCTACTAACCTTTTAAGCAGTAATGGTCCCTTTGTACGTTTTTTTCTGTATAGATTTTAACAAAGGTAACGTTCAAAGCTACTAATTGGTTCTACGTGGATGAAGAAATAAAGTCAACTTATGAGGCGAATAGATTTGAGTCCAAATCAGTCCAAGAAGCAGGATCGTCGGTCTGTCTTTGCTCCGTATTTTCTTTTGGTGGCGCAGGATGCTGGTGGGCATCTGGTAGCTGCACGGTTTGACCAGTGATCTCTCAAGCCTCCGTTCAGCTGAAGCTGGACTGTTGGCCATCTGTGCAGACAAACGCTCCCTCCCTCCCTCCCTCTTGCTGTAGATGTTTTCTTTCTTTTTTTTTTTTTGCAGTCATGGTCAGTCTGCATACTGATAAATTAAATCAATTTGGGCATGATACTCTTTTGTGAGCGGACCGCCTAATGAGGCCCCGTAGGAGTTATCAAAGCACACGATTTCTGGTTTATATTCTGTGTGAAAGGTCACAGGCAGCCATTCTCGGACCTCCATCGCCGTACAACAGTCAGTGGGAATCTTTCTGCTTCCTCTGTTTTTCTCCTACGCCCTCTGAAAATCTAGGAGGAGGCACAGCCTATCGCCTCGAATTGAGGGATCTTAATAAGATTCCCACATGCACGCCTAACGTAGTTCCGTCCTCTGTGCTGCAAACCCTCCTTTATCCTGCCAACAAACCCCACATGCTCAAACCCCCGGCAAGCTTTGGACTACATTTTTCATTGTGGCATCAAATCTTCTCCACAGTATTTCAGCTTAGGTCCACTCCTCCTCCTCTTATCCAGTTTTATTTATTTCCGGCGGATGGCAAGAAGCTAGACTTCCATGGACTGGTGCTCAGAATCCTTTTTTTTCTTTCATAGCCATATCTGACAGTATGAGGCCAAACTGCACACCAAGAATCCCTCCCAAGGCCTCCATTTTAATGAGGTGGGAATACGTTTTCACAAGAAAGGCCATACACCAGGCAGTCGTCAACAGCGGTTACATTGAGCTGATGGAGGACGGAAGTGAAAAGAGAATAGAGGAAGATTGGTATTGTGTGTCCGTGTGTCCCTAGGGCTGCTGACTGAGACTGCATTCGGCTGGCCAGGCATTGTCACTTGGGGATAGTGGGAGGTGAGCCTGCCAAGGCGCTGACAGGCTGCAGCCCCACGGGGTCAGTCAGTCGGCAGCCCGCTTCTGGAGCAACACCGCCAGTCCCCGTCCCCAAGCCTCCCCCGGTCTTGTTCATATTATTAGTTAAGAGCATCAGAAAGCACCACATGCGTTTGCACGCGTGTCTTGAGTGCTTGTACGTCCACCGATGTTTTTGTGTGTGTGTGTGGGAGGGATTCTGTGCGTATTTATAGTGTGGTATGCATGTCAGCTATTGTTCATTTTTTCATTTTTTTTTCTTTCTTTATTATGAGCCCGTTTTTTGAAGAGAAGCACAGGCAGGCTTACGAGAGTGAGGCGGCTGGGTGAGTCACCGCTCTCGTGTAGCCGGGCTCTCCACCCTGTATTGACTCGCCCTCCCCGGTCGGTTCTTTGCTGCAGCGTGCTCGGTGGTGCCAGACCCTTTGTCCACATCGTAATTGTCGTTGTCATTTACTCCCCTCCTCGGTCACAGCTCGTCACATTGTTAGCGCTGTGTAAAGATGTGAAGGCGTTCACCTCAAAGTTGAGGTAGGAATAATGCCGTATTGAAGTATGAGTCAAAGAAGAAGCTGCGTATAAGTATTACTTTATATAGTTCATGTTAAATTGACAACGTGGGGCAATCCATGCTGTTATTGTTGGACCCCGGCTCATTTCAGGCTGCAAGTGCACCACAACAGACTCAACAATGCATGTAATGCAACCTTATTCTAGTCTTAAACATGCATGGGAGACCTTCTCATCCCGGCAATGCCGTTCTGCACCTGTTTTTCCATCAATCAGCGGCTTTGTACGTTGGCGGGTGATTCCCCTGGACGGTGAGCCAAGCCCAACTCGCCTCGAAGAGCGCATCCCACATGGGAAATGCAGCCCAGCACAGACTTGAGCTTGCTACCTGTCTGACACTTGTTCCAGTCATCTGAGTCAGCGGCTGATCAATAGCTGATCTAATAGAACGTTAAAAGCCCCAGGCGCAGAGAGAGGCAGGACTGCTGACACTGATGAGTAGACAGCCTGTGAACCGTGGCGCGATGGAGAGATTACAAAGGAGCCAAGGGGGCGCTGGAGCACGGATAGATTTTCTGCCCGCTGAAGGGGGGGAGGGCGTGGCATTGGCAGCATTTCTTGTTTTTGACATGGAGTCCTGGTGCAGTGAAGATAAACAACAACCCGACCTCTAAGATCGGTTGAAAGAGTTATTAAAATGTATATTTAGCAGCATTTTTTGTCTTATGACTGTGTATTTAAATCTTCATTTAGATTCCTAAAAGACAATGGCTGCACACTGCACCTTTTTTTTTTTTTTTTTTTTTTTTTTTTTTGCATTATTGTATTTCAATGACACAACCTCTACCATAAAAGTTCAAAGAGCCCGCTGTACGCTGGGGCTGGCTTAGGTACGCTTGCTTCCTTTCCATAACTCCCAACGCAGCACCGCTCGCATATTTGGTCGCATTTGTTCTCTCTGTCAGCCCTTCTGAGCTGACTGGCTAACCGACCAATATAAAAATAAAACGCAGAGGTTTGTGTCTGCGACCCTGATGATCCCCTCTGCTGCGACCATGTGATCACAATCCAACCCGTTCCCACTAATGCGCAGACCTGAGTTTGGGGACATATCGCTGCAGCAGTGGATACTAGCAGATGTGTTTATTTATCACTCATATCCCTGGGCTATAATACTGCTGATGCCCTCTGTCAACATCCACACAAATAAAGAAATGTTCCTATTCATGTGAATTTCACATAACTCTCAATAATTGACATATTCCAGTTTTGCAGATTGAAATCATTTTCATCCACATTTGGTTTTGTAACATGCCTTCGTACAGTACGAACCACGGGTGGGTAAAAACATCACCGATGTATTGTTTCTACATTCTTGTTATTGATTGCAATATAGATATTTGAACGTCAAGATCCACACCAGCAGTGTTAGTGTTTAGATAACAGGTGGATTGGCAATGCCAGATGAACAACGGAAGATCAACGGATGGCAGAATCAGTTTGTTTTTTGGTTCTTTTTAGCTCCCAAACATTGCTTCATTTAGCCCATTAACCTAAAATGTGTTACTGTGTGTTTGATGTTTTGAGAGATCGTGTGAGATCTATAAGGGATACACCGTTGCAAGCGTTTTGTTTATTATCCGACAGGATTGCACCACAAAATTTGGATTATTTGCAATTGGCTACATGGAAAAGAAAACAAACGATGATGAATTGAGGAGTCTTCTGTCTCTGGCAGGGTTCTCGCTTCTCTTTTTTTGCACTCTTTTGCATTTTTGGATGGAGATGGGTGAGAACAGTGCTTGATTGTTCATGATGCCTTTTCCTCAGGTGCTCCCCCATAAAAAAAAATACAATAAAAAATCAACAATAACCTACTGCAGTTCTCTTCATGTTTGGGGAAGCGAGCCGTGGGTGCTCAGTGTGAATAGGAAGGTGCTGAGCACACAGCCCTGGGGGGCGCCTGTGTTCAATACTAAATAGAGTAAAGGGGTTTTGACTGCCAATCCGAACGGCCTCAAGTCTTTTTGGGAGGGAGTCTAGTAACCAGTTGCAGATCCTTGTACTCACTTTTACGATGTGGGTCGTGTAATTGTTCGATATCTAGTAAACTCTGTGGGCGAAACCGGTCGCTCCATCTACATGCACCGCCGTTGCCATAGCAAAAATCACACAAAGCTATCTTCAGTGAGATCACAAGCGAGAAGGAAGTGAAACTGACAGGCACAACGTGCTCTTTTTGTCTGCAACAATAGGCTTTACTGTTGATCATATGGGGTCAGGTTATACTATTGTGTCTCTAGTCAAAAGAGGCTTTTGAGTGTCTGTCCAATAGTTAAGCAACATGTGTAGGAGTGAAACAGAAACCAAATGGTTTCTTTCTCATTTGGTTTCTCATCACCTTTGCTTCACACCTTCTTTCTCTCTGTCTTCTCTCCACAGTGTGTGTGGGCGGCTCATTGCAGCATGGTCTGCACCCTGCAAAGTTCTGATTGGATGGCCTCTTCTCTCTTACTCGATTTCTCCGTCTGAAAGCAGACTGTTGCAATGCTTTCAATCATGCCACCATCATACCTGTTTAGGGAAAGCATCAAGTGTAATCACTGCTGAAAGATTTAGCATTGGTTGACGTAGGAATTGTCTTCTGAATAATGTACCTTCATATATATATATATATATATATATATATAGTAATAAATAAACTTGGATGATGATTTTAGAAGCTTCCTCATAGTAGCTTTTTGGAGATTGAGATTGTTAGAAAGAGAAGATAGCTGTGCTTTCCGTTCCGTTTTCACTCTCTTCTCTCCGGTAACTTACTGCATTTTGGTCGTGGCCACTCGTGCAGCACCAACAACCCCCCTCGGTTCTCTCCTTCCTCATATTTTTTTCAGGTTCACAGTAGATGTCAGGTTTTCTAATGCAAGGTCTCCTTTTTAGGTGCCGTAGTCAAACCAATTCCACACCTTCCAACGGCTGTTAGTGTGCGCCTCAAACAAATTCTACTTGCCTTCTTCGGTCTGCCTGCCAAGCATCAAATCCCATCATGCCCTGCATGTGTTAGAGAGCAAAAGATTCAGCGAGGGAATATGTTGTTCTTCCACAACAAATCATTTGCCAACAGGCCCAGCAATCTTTAGTCCCATCTGTTCGTATCAGGTCTATTCACGCTTTGTGTCCTCCAAAGTGTTTGTTTGACTGGAAGATGGAAATCTGGGTGAGCTAGCAGGGAGTTGGACTCTACCTGCCTACACTCTTGGCTCAGGGCTCGGTGCTGCTGCAGAGAATTCTCTCTCCACACTGACCGTCCTTTTTTATTGTCCACCCCCCCCCATTCCTCCCCTTCCCAACCCCACTTCTCCTTTGGATCTTTCTCAACAGGCCAAGTCGTGCATCTGTCATATGTGTGGAGCCCACCTGAACAGACTCCACTCTTGTCTCCACTGCGTCTTTTTCGGCTGCTTTACGAAGAAACACATCCACGAGCACGCAAAAAACAAGAGACACAATCTAGGTAAGCCGAACACCCCTCACTACACTACTTAGAAATTCAAATTTGCACCAAAATTATTATTATTATTTTTTTTCAACCATTATACATTTCTATATTTAAATAAAATATAACATTAGTTAAAATTATGCAAGATAAATTATCTCAATACACGTATTGCCCTACGTCCAAGGCCCAGTCCCATCACGTCAGTCCTCACATTCACATGCGCCCCTGTGGCTCACTGCAGCATCAGCTATTAGCAGCAACGGATTACAGCCTTAATTTGGGCAACTTCCTCCTCCGAGCAGACAGGGAGCCGAACCTCCCTTTAACCGCAGCACATTACCATTCCGGCGGAGAGCGCCTCAGCCAGTCAAATGTCATGAGTTTAAGTTTGCACTCTCCCTGTCATCCCGCCGCGAGGGCCTGGGAGACGTTGCTAATCCACAGCCTCAAGGAAGCCTAGCTTCAACTCTACATGCTAATGATGCCGAATAATATAATGCCACTAATGAGTGCGGTTCCTTTATATTACCCCTGCAAGCATAAGGTGAGGGTTTGGTTGCTCGGTAGCTGTTAGAATGGCTGTAATTAGTTTAATGCGTTTCAACAGTTTGGTGGCACACAGATACCCCCAGGTGCGCGGCCACAGTGTTAATTACCTCCGAGCTTTCCACAAGAGCCTCTCTGACTCTGGCGTTGTGCTCATCTCCACCTCTAATCAAATTAATCCAAACTCCCCGTCTGCTCGACGGCATGATAGCGAGCTCCCTTCTCAGGACTCATTAAAGAATGTCATCTCCTCGCTCCCAACGACTCTCTCCATATCTTTTCCCTGTGCTTCCTTTCTCGTCCGAGCTACGTCATTCTCCGCACGCGTTTCCCATCTTCTGATTTTCTTCCACCGCCGCATCCTTCTTTTTTCTCATCCTTTGCTCAAGTGAGCACGATCTATATTCCTGCTTTGTATATTGTGCTCTATAGTCCATCCCCTGGTTCTCACTTAAGTATCATTTGTCGGTTTTAATTGGATTAGTGTTGTTCAGAGGGGAGCATCTTTTGTGGCCATGGTTTACCAGAGAAAAGTAGGTTTCTTTTAGACACTACATTTCTTTGTATGTTCTCATCTCCCCCACACACGCGCGCACACACACACACACACACTGAAGATAATTTTCTATACGTTGTGTTCTCACCTCGCAGTGTAGGCAGCACCAGAAAAAACATCCAGTTAAGCTAAAAAAGAATAGGTTGTCATGGCAACAGAGCGTATTGTTGCCGTGGTTTTAGCATGGAAGAGGATAGTGTGTTAGTTGACAGCCCAGGTGGGGGGTGGGTGACAAATGCACATATTCCATTACTTCTACCCTCACATCTCTTACAATTGCTAATTGCAAACGTTACGAGGGGAAATATTCGGCAGGGACAGCACATGTCCTTAAAATCTCCTGTGCCAGCGAGTTTGTACTGTAAATAAAAAAAAAAATGTGTTACCGGGGTGGAAAAATCAATTTAATTATGGTGCAATCTCTTTCTCCTTCTCTCTCCCTCCCTCCTGCTTCCAGCAATAGACTTATTATACGGTGGGATATATTGTTTTGTGTGTCAAGACTACATATACGACAAAGACATGGAGCAGATCGCCAAAGAGGAACAGAGGAAGTCCTGGAAATTGCAAGGTATGGCATTTTGTTTTTCTCTCCAAGACCGTCGCGCAGCTTTTGAAACGAGGCCGGTCACATTTGTGTCTCTGTGTGTCTTTTGAATCCACAGGCATCGGGGAGAAGTACACAACGTGGGAGCCTACCAAGAGGGAGCTAGAATTATTACGACACAATCCGAAGCGGCGGAAAATCACTACGAACTGTACCATAGGTAAGCAGCGTTTGTGTGCGCTGGCCCCCACCGGATCCTGTAGTGCGAGTGTACCTGGGGTCCCTCTTGTGTTTAAAAGCAAGGTCCAAGGTCAACAAGGCCGGCTCGCCCCCCTCACAGCGAACTGTGAGCAACAGAACACAGTGTTCCCTCACTGATGCTGCAGATGCGCACCATACGGGCCCCAATGTGTGTGTCTTTCTCCACAGATGCACCTCGGGTACACCGGAGAGGATTTTTTTTGTCATTTTGGACAGAAATATAAACTGCAGCATTTTCTTTTTCAGATTTGATTCAATCTCCCTTCCCCTTTTAAATCTTTATTGAGCTTGGTTTGTTTCCCCGGTAGAGCGGTAGACTGTGTGCGTTTTATGTGGGTGCTCGCACGCCGTGACCAGTCTGAAGGATTAAAGCTGTCGCTGAGCATTCTCCTCCCAAACCAATTCTTACTCCTTTTGGAATCGACCCAACACCCTGCTGTGTTTCTCTGGTTCTCCCGGCCATTGCTGCAAGACTGCAGCACTGTTTTCTAAATGAATCCATTCACAGCTTTGACTTCTGCTTTAGGATTTTATACATTTTAGCTGGCAGGCCCGACACGACAACATGGTCTTTTATGTTTAATAACTATACTGGCATTGAGATGTGGTTCCATATAGCTTCTACATAACTACCAAATATTAACATTAACAACTAAGCTGCGAATTATTCCCGTATTTAATTGGGTAACAGTTTGCCTTGTGAAATGTCAAAAACAGTGAAAATGCCCAATTTCCTGAAGACCAAGTTGATGTCGTCAAATGCTTATGTTTGACCGTTAAATAGAAAGACACAAAAAAACATAACATTTTTGCCATCGAGAATCTGTAAATCAGTTGCGTTGTCACCTTTGCATACCTGCTCAGTGTTTAATTAGTAGCAAAACATGATTTAGTTTTATATCCAAATACCAGCTTTTTATGTGTGGTTCTTTTGGTCACAATTCAGTAAAGCTGTCCAGTTCTGATGGTTTCTAACTAGTAAGATGAACCGTCCAGAGAAACCGAGTGGAGGTCCTTGGTGGGGATTCATTTCCTGCCCATGGCAGCAGTATTAGTCTGAGGCACTGTCATGTTTAATCTTTGTTGCTGTGTGTCTCTCATGCTGTTCTTTGTCTCCCCTTTGTCCTGCAGGTTTACGAGGGTTAATAAACCTTGGCAACACATGTTTCATGAACTGTATTGTCCAGGCCCTAACACACACGCCGCTGCTGCGAGACTTCTTTCTCTCCGACAGACACAAGTGCGAGATGCAATCAAACTCCTGTCTGGTGTGTGAGATGTCGCAGCTCTTTCAGGAGGTACGGTGCAACATTTTCCTATCTGAACTTGTTCCGTATGTTTGTTTAAATCCCACAAAGAAAAGAAGAAGATCCTATTTTGGGTTGAAACTGGACCATTATTTCAGTTTGTTTCAACGAGCATATGATACACAATGTTCTCTCGCAGTGTGGCCCGCTGCAGAAGGCTGAGTCACTCTTTGGTCCAGTCCAAAGAGGGAGGCAGAGAGGAGGGGGAAAAAAATATACAGCGCCGCAAGCAGAAATCTGTGATTATATATTTCTTTTTGAACCTGGTCCGTCAATGCAAATGATGTTGCATGGCCTTTCATAGCCTCTTAAGCAGAGCTCTCTGATACCAAAGGTTTTGCATTTTGCATCGAACAATCTCATCTGCCCTCCCTGTTATGTAATCTGCTGTGGATGCTCAGCCCACACTGCCTCACTTTTCTTTTTTCTTTTCCACACACCCTCACTTAACAGTTTATAGGGGCCGACAGATGGCAAGTGATACACAATATATACACAGAGCCTGTTCCCCACCTCGGTGGCCTGAACGATTTAGCCACACATGCTGGAGGTAATCGCTCACCAGGGAGGCATTGACCACATTGACTACTCTGCCGCAAACCCAGTCAAACAACGAGAAAAAAAAAATTATATTTCAAAGTAGCCCCGCACACAAACACTATCTCTTCAACGTTTTTCTACCACCTTCTCCCTGACTCTATTTCGATGCTTACTTTCATCCTCTACCCACCTACATATCTTCTTCAAACGGCGGCGTCTCCTCCCTCTGCACACGCAAGAACTCAGGGCTTTTTAGATGTGACGGCCCACTTTCATTAGCCGCTCTCTCCTTAGTTTCCTCATCGTCTTGTAGCATCGTGTGTTTGTCAACCACCCTCAAACTGCCAAAAAGGACAGTGTTGGATTCTAAAGAGACTTTGGCATGGCGTGTTTTTCTCTTCGCAGCTGAAGCGCATTTCCGACGTGGTGTCGGGACACGAGGCCCTGCGTGGCGTTAATTTGGAACTGTATTGCAGAGTTTGCACCTAAACAACTCTCGCACTCCGCCCATCTCTGACCTTGATTGTCATTAACTCGAATTCCCATGGCAACGCAAAGACTGCATCCATTTTAGAGATCGGTGTTGTAACTCCAAACACTCCCGTTTTCCAACCAGTTTTTCCTCTCCCCACCCCCCCCAATTGCACCCTTCCTCTCTATGGGTGTGCGGACATATGGCGGACTTCAAACATACCTGATGAGGCCTGTAGAAAGTAGCTGCTTATGGAGTCATAAAGACACCTTGACTGACGGCCCACACGTGTTACGCTTCAGCAATGAGTTATAGATGGTGCTCTGCAATGTCGCGACAAGGTTGTCACAGAGGCTATTAAATATAATTCTCCTTGTAGCACCTGCGATAAAAGGCTAACCACCCACTCCTCTTCACCCCCTCCCCCCCTCCCCCCCACCACCTCTCTCATCTCCACTTCCTCCCATGCTCTCAGTTCTACTCGGGACACCGTTCGCCCCACATTCCCTTCCGGCTGCTGCACCTGGTGTGGACTCACGCACGTCACCTCGCGGGCTACGAGCAGCAAGACGCCCACGAGTTCCTCATCGCGGCCTTGGATGTACTACACCGGCACTGCAAAGGGGACACCATCAGTAAGCTAATAAAACGACCACTGCTGCGTTGTCATTTCAATATAGTTGAGATACGAGGGTTTACTTTAGATTTTATTTTCAGGCCAGCTACCTCTCTGACTGAGAGGGAAACGCAGCAAAGCGTCAGTTGAGATTGAGAGGAGCTTGTTTGGGCCACCTACTGCCCCGGATCCGGCATATGGAGTTATACCTTTAGATCTACCCACAGAACACAGTGCCTTACTTCACTGGAAGCGTATTGAAAAGAAGACTGGCAGTGTTGTGTGCCGAAGGGACAGGAGGCAAGTAGTGTGAGGAATGCCAATAGGCCCCACTGCAGTGCACCGACGGGCCGACTCGCCCACAGACCCCGCAGTGTGGTTGGTTTGGATTATCTAGAGTCCAGAGAGTTGTGAAGTAGCTGAGGGGCTGCGCTGCAGGGGAGCGGTGGAGTGAGAAAGAGGGCCAGACGGAGTCCTTCGGAGGTGCCAAACATGTTGTCGGGGTTATCTGTGTGTCTATTTATACTTTCCACTCTTTGTGGTCCACAGGAGATGACAATGGGAAGAAGGCCAACAATCCGAACCACTGTAACTGCATCATTGACCAAATCTTCACTGGGGGCCTGCAGTCAGACGTTACCTGTCAAGTCTGCCAGTAAGTTTGTGTGTAAAGACGTTTACACATTAGCATAACACCGTCCCATCTCAGCGCTTTTCTGTCCATTTAACATGATGGAGCATCCCCACAACCTGCAGCTCCTTTCTCGGTCGCTAAACACACTCATTCGTCCCTCCCTGTTGCTCTCGGACTGCGTCGTCACCTTCTCACCGCTGGGCTGATCGATGTGGACGTCTACTGTCCTCCCAGAGCGGGCGAACGGCGGGTTGTGTCCTCTCCACTGTTCTTGTTTAAAGGCCCGGTCCCTGCAGAGCTGCTGTAAGGTGGGGGGTTGTCTAGACAGCGGCGCAACCCGAGCGTTGCCTGCCGGGCCGGCCCGCCCTCTGGAGCTGTCCTGTCACATTAACACTAACGCGCTGCACTGAACTGCAAAGCAACCTCGCCCTTACTTGCACTCAGTGCGGTGTTACCTGCCGTATTTTTGTGTGCTGCCGTGCATTTTACTACCGAACGCTTGCATTTTGCTCAGGCTGAGGTCCATCGCAGCCATCGGACTGTAATAAAACCCATTTCTTGTGTAAAGCCAATTTTCTCTGATGCAACACTCATGTAATTGCAAATGGACCTGGAGGTACTGTGTATATTAGGAACATACTCAATATTTCATCAGGCTTAAACAAATACAGGATCACAATCCACAGAGACTCTGTGAATTTAAGCTTGTCTGTTGCCATCTATGTCATCATCCTTTCATCATGACCTGTAATAAATGACCTACACTTAAGGACACGCTGCTCATTACTCATTCAAACAATTTCCTCTCCCCCTTTTTTTTTTTTTTTTTCCTTCCTCTAGTGGGGTTTCCACAACGATAGATCCATTCTGGGACATCAGTCTGGACCTTCCTGGCTCATCCACGCCTTTCTGGCCCCTCAGCCCCGGAGGCGATGGCAGCACAGTTAACGGAGAGAGCCACCTGTCCGGGTCCACCACTCTCACAGACTGCCTGCGCAGGTACCACTTCAGGCTCCGCTGATAACAGACGGGTTTCCTTTTTCTCTGCCCGTCAGGTTTTTGTTTATTTATTTTATTTTTCTTGATCTAAACAAAACTGAATTCCTTGTCATGTAGGTTGTAGAATTTTCAATGGCGCTAAATCAGATCATTTGCCTTTGAGTAGCACTGCTGGCTCTGTGCGCTGACGCAGAAAAACGGTGATAGTCTTACAGCTTTGTCATAAAAAGAAGGTACTTTTTTTTTTTTTTTTTTTTCCCCAATATGCTTATTGTCCTTTATTCCTTCTGCCACCCCTCCCAATTCATGGGTGTCAATCGTCTCCAAAAACGTTTTATTTATCTCTCCACTTGTCTGAGGAGTCACATATTGTGTCTGCTCAGGCACGTTATCACTGGATCTCATCTCCCACCATCACCAGGTTGGCAGATGTGACCTCTCATATCTCCTCGACTGCCTCTTCATTCTTGCAATGTCTTTCCCTCCTCTCCTTATCTGATTTCATTCCCCCCCTCTCCGTCTAATTCCCTTTCCCCCTGTGCCCTTACCATCTACCTCTCGTATTCCTCTCATCCTCCCCCTCTTTCTCTCGCCTCCTTTCCTTCTGACTTTTTTATTTTTTCTATACTGCAGCACCTCACACACCCCTAGTTGCTGCAGCAAGTCTCTTAAAGGTACAGAACTGGTTGGTGCTGTTGCCGTGGTGATGGAGGTGTTGGAATTTCCAGCAGAGGGCCGGTTTGGGTGCAAACCAAAACTCTTTGCACAAGCCCTCCTCCATTTTCAGATTAGTTTGGATTCATAGGAGGGGAACCAGGTTTTGCCCGGTGCAAAAGGCTGTTCATGTAATGTAATCAAAGATATATAATCATTATGGGTTTTTTTTCTTGTTTTTACTTCCTTTTCGCCCACATGTTCACTTCTTCCTCAAACCCTCTTCTCTTTTGCTCCAACCCTCCCTCTGCAGGTTTACGCGACCTGAACATCTAGGAAGCAGTGCCAAAATCAAGTGTGGCGGTTGCCATAGTTACCAGGAGTCCACCAAACAGCTGACAATGAAGAAGCTCCCCATCGTAGCGTGTTTCCATCTGAAAGTGAGTCAGCCAGTGACAATGTGCTGTCTCCATGTGACTATTTAAATATTTGAGAGTACATTGAGCTTTTATCATTCACAAATCAAATTTTTTTTTTCATCACTCCAAACGGAAGATCCAACAGTACCTTGGCTGCGTGATGCGTCTTAATACATCATGCAAATGCTTTATTACTCATTATTTTCCATCTTTTTTTAAAACTACATTTTAATGTTTTGCAATATATATGTATGCCGTAATATAATATGATCCGTTCTGTGTGTACTCAGCTTTACATCTTATTTAGGCAAACCGACTTGTCTGGTACAGAGTGTTCAGAATTCTATTCATTTGTCGGTGCATTATTTTCTACTGTGGAGCCCTTTCACAGCGTCCCAGGACACGTATGACTTGTAGAGGCCTCGTTTGTCCATGTTTTATTAATCATAACAGTATTGTGGGGGGCTATAATGTATTCATGCTATTCATAGGAAGAGGCTTCCAGAAGATTGTCTAAGATCCAGTGCTGCTACTATCCTGCTATGAATGCATAAATGTGTGACATCCACAGTAAAACACATGCATTTTTACTTTTCACTTGCTTTGTTGTATTTTCTTGTCTTGTAACGATGATGAATGTTATTTCTAAATGTGTCTTCTCCCCCTCCCCCCTTTCTCTCTCTTGGTGTTTCTGCCCCCCTCCCTCCTTCTCTCACCCTCCCTCTCCGGCCAACTCCAGAGGTTTGAGCACTCTGCCAAACTGCGGAGAAAGATCACTACATATGTTTCCTTCCCCCTAGAGTTGGACATGACTCCCTTCATGGCATCCAGGTAAGCCTCTAGTAGGCCCGCCTGCTTTAGACCTATATGCTGAATGTCTACACATCCACACGTAAAAAAAAAAGGAAAAGCCTATTTAATTGTTTTCTTGAATGTGTAACATACTGTATGACAAACGTTATCTGTTGTGAAAGTAAATCTGAATTCAAAACAGCGTTATTATGTAATGCGGCCTAAAATATATATTGGTGCGAGAAAAGCATTTAGGAGCAGCGTTGCCCCACCCGTCTGTAGCATCCATTCAGCTCTGCTCATCGGTGAAGGCACAGGCAGGGAAGAGATGTGCTTTCACAGAAAGGACTATTCTGACATCTAGTGGATTCATGTGCCAGTGTAGCAAGTTTGTTAATGTCTTGCTATTCTTTTCTTTCATTTTTTTGTCTTCGTCTCCCACAGTAAAGAGAGCAGAATGAACGGGCAGTATCAACAGACGGTCGATGTATTAAACAACGACAATAAGTGAGTACCTGAGTAACACTGTCTCCTTCCCAGCAGCACTGCCATCGTAGTGGACATTGGTCCACAGGCAGCTCATGCTAATGACCGGAGACATCTGGCCCTGGATATCAAGCAATTAAAACATTAGTTTGTCTCATTCGTGAGCGCTAATATAGCTTTCATTTTTCCACCTCAAGGCATGCAAACTTGTAACAATTGACAAAATGGGTCACCCGCGTGATTTGCGCACATCAGAATTTCGTCAAGCAGATTTTCCTGCATGTCAATCTCACCACGGCGAGCGCAAATGAAACCGACCTTATGGCGGCTGTTAGCTGTAGCAGCTTCTGGAGCTGCCGCACGCTCTGCTCTTGGTGGCAGGTAGGACGAAATGAAATGCATAGTCTGTTTTCATTTTATGTCACTTTGGATTTAATCCATTCAAACATCCTGTCAAAACAAACGTGGACCAAGAACCTTCACTGCCATTTACGAGTTATCTGTGCAGCTCTACTTTGTCCTCTGATGTTGGACTGAGGACACATGAGACGCTACCGTGACTCCCTATCGTCCCCCAAGGTTCGGGTGGTTTTACTAGGCAAAGAATGGCCGTGGCTAGTTAGCACGTTAGCGCACCTATATTCATTTATCTCTGGAACAAAATAAATATCTTTTACATGATGTCAACACTGTAACCTCTCCACATCTTTTCTCTTTTTGAATACTTTAAGCTAAAACTGGCCAGACCTTACACATTGCACGTCTTTTGGTCTATTTCCAGGTATTCCTTATTCGCCGTGGTCAACCACCAGGGCACGTTAGAGAGTGGCCACTACACCAGCTTCATCCGCCAGCACAAAGACCAGTGGTTCAAATGCGATGACGCCATAATCACCAAGGCCAGCATTAAGGATGTCCTCGATAGTGAAGGGTAAGGACGGAACCCAGGCACTAGCAGCTGTACAATGTTGTACCGGATGAAATCTCAACAGGGTCTTTCTATTGTTTTCACCCATCAGGTACCTCTTATTCTACCATAAACAGTTCCTGGAGTATGAGTAGTCTTTGACCGCTGGCCATGAAGAACCACTGGTTCCACGAGGGAAGCAAGGGCCCGGGGACAGGAAGAGACGGAACACACAAACCTACCTGAAACTCTTTGACTACCAGTCTTTGCTCCTCCAGCTCTCGAGGACAAAAAAAAAAAAACAGACTTGTGAAATCATGCAACCTTTCAAAAGAAAAATCTTAGCAGGCACTGAGCTACTTCTTGGCATCTACTTGACAAAGTGAACGAAGAGAAGATTCGGAGGACCAGTTGGCCGTTCAGAGGGAAGTGCACCCTTACCCCCTTATTCTCGCACCCTTACCTGCTGCAGGGGCCGTCTGAGTGTCATGTTGATTGGGCACATCTGGACGTTTCTTTCAGTATTCGCGCCCCCCCCCCCCCCCCACACACACACACACACACACACACGCACCCTCTATTTAACTGACTGAGCTTTTTACTTGATGGAAGACAGTTTGTTGTCGTATTCTTATGGGGACTGAACAAAAACGAACAAGAATAGAATTGCAAGAAAGGTATTATGAACTTTGTGAGAACATTTTCAAAGGTATGGTTATGATTATCAGTTGTGGAAATTTGTTATCAAATACTGTATGAACATAGTATACATCTATTTTTTAAGAGCGAAAAAAGAAAACACACGGGAGAGCTTACAGACGCTGCCTTTGCCAGTTACTCGGCAAGTGCTGCCATGGAAACAAAGCAGATTTGGACATGACTGTGCTCATGTTTCACATATACTGGGTTGATTGTTTTATTTTTGTCTGGTTGAGGGCAGGGAATATATATATATATATATATATATATATATAATTTTTTTTAGCAACTCATTGAATTTTTGTCTGTTCTTTTCAATGTCTTTTTTTTTTTTTACTTTTCAGTACAGTTATGTGTCCCTCGCTGTCCTGGTACTGGAAATGTTTTTTGACGTATTATACTTTCATTCTTGTGGAATTGTTGGTATAACGATGGTGATGGTTGGATTGGCTCTCTTTTGCTGTTTATAAATTGTATGTTGAATCTGAGCTTGGGTTTCACGTGGCATTCTGAAGAGGAGACTCCATATGTGAACTCCAAGTGAGGTCCTATAATATGTGAGAATGCTATGGTCTCTCTAGAAGAACTTTAATGCGCTGCAAAGAAAAAGAAAAAATAAGCCGATTTCACAACACTGCATGCGCCTGGGCTCTTAAGATAAAATAGCTCTCGGCAACGGCTCCAGGCCTGCTGCCCATCATGATTTTTGTTTCGTAAACTTGGGGGACAGGAAGACGATCATGTGAGCTGTATAGAGGGTAAAACATATTGCACGTATATGGGCTCTGCCCGGCCACAGTGTGGCTCTGAATCCATCAGTGTTAATCTTCTCCATGGCAACCGTGTGGCTGGTGTAGACCGGTGTGGTGCGTCTTGCCTCTGCAGTGCAGTAAACCCAGTGCTCTGTTCAATCAGTATGCTGTCAGACTTTAGATAATGCACATACACATCAGGGTGTTGTGGTCTGTTTTGTTTGAATATCACTGATTGTGTATGTATTAAAAAAAACAAAAAAACAATTGAATAAAAAGAAATTCACTCATGTATAAGATGAGGGCCCAAAACTATCACATAAAAATCACAACCCCCCCCCGGTTGTTTAGCTGCTCTGTAATGGAAAACAAACATACATATCCCTCAGTTTGCTGCGGAACCTCAGCTACCCCCCCCCCCCCACACCTCCCATCGGTGAAATCAAAGACTTGGTTTTGGTGTTTCACGGAGCAGTTAAGACCACCCAAGGACATTCAGGGACGCAGCTGAAACGAGAAGGAAGAGGAGAGCTTCATTATCTGTTTCAGTGATTAAACTCAGAACAAAACTGGAGAGTTTGAGTATGTCCTGTCTTTTTTTTTTCTCCCCCTCATTCTGCACACATCTCTTCTTCAGGACAATACATTGTGTCCCAGCAGTGAAGAACTGATTGATTGGTTGGACAAGAGGGTGCATTCGGTCCATAGACTGAATGCAGTTTAAGCTTTTTATCAAACCGTTGGGCTGGATTATGGCTCCACCTTGTGGTCAAACCAGGAGGTTCAGAGGACTTTAGAGAGAGTCCAAGTCCGAACTGCTTTCACGATTCTATGCGATGGGGTGGTAACAGAATTAAAGACAAGAACTGTAAACCTCTGCAGTGAGAGCCTTGCGTAGAATAGCATTCTTCATACATCATATAATTTAAATAAATCAATATAAACAGTGTTAATCTTACCATCGTTAATAAAATATTTGGCATATCTTATCCCCTTGTTATTCCATAAAGAGCATCCAACAATTTTGCAGAAGAAATCTACTTATTTATTTAGATTCAGCACAACTATACACAATCCATGGTTATTCCATCAAATGCATTTTCCACTGTAATGGAACAAAACAACTAGAATGCTAGTATGGAAACAGTAAAACAGTAAAAGAAAAAAAAAGGAATTCAAAGCTCGGGAGACATAACATTGTAGAACAAATGTTTGTGAATTCAATAAATTCCAATAAGCTATTAACACAAATAATCATTACAACGACGACGGCTGGAGGATATTGTATAACATGAGGTGTATGGTGTTACATGTTGTGTGGGTCTCTAACACAAACTATACACTACATTTTACCCCTCAGGTATCTAACTGAGGTGTTTGGCTCTGCTTTTTTTTTTTTTTTTTTTTTCTTCCCTCGCCTGAAAACATTCATAATTTATGTCCAGAGTTTTTGTTATTATTATGCTAATTTGTGTTACCATGGGAGTAATGCTCTTGAACACTGTTGCTATGGAAATATAAGACACTAGAGGTGTCATGTCTTAAAGTGGAAATGAGATGCTACAGATCAGCATACAAATTCCATAATAGAGAGAATGTGTGTGTGTGTGTGTGTGAGAGAGAGAATTTCTGTGAATCATTTGAGACTGACAAATGAAGGAAACAATTCAATGCTTTGAGTTGTTTGTATGTATAAACATATAAACACAGGGTGGCGGGATGGACTCTGAGCTCCTGAAGCAACATGTAGATGATGATTGAAGGACACCGGAGCCCCTTTATGATAAGTGTTGCCACCCCCCCTCGTGTCACTGACACACCCGGAGACAGAAACAGAGGACGGCTCAGTGTCATTATACAACGTGTTTACAAGCAGCGTGCAATGGGGAGGAGAAGCCAAGGCTCTTATATATGCAAAGTCAAAGGAAGGAGAGCAGCGAAAGCACCAAACACAGTGTTTTCTGTAATAGAGCAAAGTGAAACAACAAATTGAACATGTGTTTGAAAGGCAATGTATTCAACTCAAGGGCATGTCCTATAGTTCAGTACTTCACTACCTCCAGTAAAGCAAAGCCATCTGCTTCTGAAGCGGTTTTATGCTCTCAGCTGATATAAAAACACAAAGCTGGGTGCCTACTTCAAATTTGTCTCTGAATTATTTAGGGTTGTGCCGTTTGGAATATTAGACAATAGTAGACAACTGCAAGCAAACACACAAACCTTATTATAGGACGCACACAGTTAACGGTAAATAAGCCCAAAAGCCATCAGTCCAGTAGAAACATATATACAAGACGACATTGTGGTAGAATTTTATACATCTCGGCAGCACTTTGGTCGAAATATTTAACCGCCCACTGAACATCACGTTATTACATTTTACACGTTCATCACAGATCAAATTAGCCACACATAAATCAGAATGTTGTACTACACAACAGAAGAAGTAATGGCACTGACATTGATTACGTTGATTACTGTGTCTGTAAAAGGAAAAAAAAGAATTCTTATTTGAGAGTCAGATTTAGAGATCAAAATGTGAGGCTTTAATTCTCTCACCGCTTCTCTTTGCCCACTTCCTGCACAGTTAGAAACAAATAACTGCATGACGGATGAGACGGGAACAAAAACCGAGGAAAGATACGGTCGTCAGTGTTAACAATACCACGTTGTTTTTGAGCATCCGAACGCATCGTACTGCTATTTTTACCCAATGCAGGACTGTGGAAACTTGGCACAAGCCCTCGTCTCTGATACTATGTACGTAATCCCAGGTCTCCAGGGAAAATGAATGTCACCCTGGGGACCATTTACACGTGGGCGTTAGTGTGTATCTCCTACCTTCAACCCACTGAGGAAAAACTACAGCATGGAGCAAACACTCACATGTTCTCACTGATTACGTGAGAACAGAGAAACCCAACGACGTGTCAATAGCAGACAGGAACAGTGCCGTTTTACTCTCTTTGATGCTTCGTCCTCTTTCACAAGGGACGTGTTCCTATCGAACCTATTGTTAAATATTGCCCCTCCCTCCCCCTTCCTCTCTGATGTGACCGCAGAGGAGCTGATAACAGCGGACTGCCGTCCTCTCAGATGCTGGTCTGCAGGTCCCCGTTCAGCAGAGTACTCTGGGTGTCCGTGGGGTCGTTTATCATGCGAGACTTGTCCTGCCGGCTGTCGCTGCGATCGGCCTCGTCCAGCCCGCCCACCTTCTTGAGACACAGAACATTCTGGAAGCTCTTCCTGAAGTTCTCCGACAGGAAGGCGTAGAGGATGGGGTTGGCGCAGCTGTTGGCGTATCCCAGGACCACCACAAAGGCGAAGGTGCTCCTGAGGATGGGGGTGGTGCTGATGGTCCCCGTCACCGAGGTGACGTTGAAGACGTAGAAGGGCAGCCAGCAGAAGACGAACACGGCCACCACGATGGACACCATGCGAGTCACCTTCCTCTCCGAGCGCTTCCTCTTGGACGAGCCCACGCGGATGCCCGAGGACTTCACCTTGAAGATGATGAACAAGTAGCAGAGGCAGATGACCATGAGGGGCAGGAAGAAGCCCAGGATGAAGGTGTAGAACATGAACGCGGTGTAGTAAGCCTCTTGAGGCTCCGGCCACACAATGGTGCAGAAGCAGCCGTCGTGCTTTGTGATGACTCCGCTGTAAATGACGATGGGAAGGTTGACCATCAGCGACGACCCCCACACCGCTAGGTTGATAGTCTTGGCCATGCGCGGCTTGCGCCACTTTGTGGACTTGATGGGATGCACCACGGCCAGGTAGCGGTCGATGCTCATGACCATCAGGCAGAAGATGGAGGTGAACTGGTTGAGGGAGTCCAGGGCCATCACCACCCTGCAGAGCACGGGGCCGAACGGCCAGTGGACCAGCGCCAGCTGGATGGCGATGAACGGCAGGCCCAGCATGAACAGCACGTCGGCCACCGCCAGGTTGAGGATGTAGATGTTGGTAACCGTCTTCATCTTGGCGTAGCGCAGGATCACGTAGATGACCAGGGTGTTCCCGCACAGTCCCACCGTGCAGACCAAAAAGTACAGGCAGGTGATGACCACCGTGCTGGTTTTATTGAAGCTGTGGTCCGTGTAGTTCCCGTGGAGGTCCGGCTCGAAGCTGTCGTACATCAGGTGCTCCGACAGGTTGGGAGGGGACGACGGCAAGATCCAGGAGTCCATGATTCCGAGATGTCCGGTGCGGATTATGGCATCTCACCTGCACACATAAAGACTTATCTTTAATGTTAAAGTATTTTTAACAGTGATTTTGTTTTACAATCTTGACAGCTACGGTCAAGTCGGCAGAGAAAAAGACCCATTGAAATTGATGTATTTTGTTATTGTTTTTATGATGTGCAGAAGATGAAAAGAGAGATCCCAAGTCGTCAGCTTCATCAGATATTGAACGTGATGAGATGAAGGGATTCAACTTCGCCAGGCGTTCGTTTCGTGTGTTTAATGGCCAGGAACTGCCACCCGGGGAAATCATTCTGCACACCCTTTGGTCGCGTAGTCTCTGCCTGGAGAAACGCTTGCCCTTTGAACACTGATCAACTGCGACAGGTTACACAAAATTCTTTGCATACACATTTTTGAGAATTTATTAGGTGGTGGGCGTGTTCACAGATTAATCCTGGCCTAAGTAAGTAATTGAATGAGGGGAGTCCCAGTAATGCCGATGTCAGATTAAAGTGCTTGTCACTGCTAACGCACATGAGGCAAACATGGTGGGACAACTTAGTTTGGTGCCAATAACATGAGAGGTTTTATGGTCCCAGTTGGTCATTTTCACCACGGCAGCAGAGAAGAGTGGACACCAAACCGAGTCTGGTTTTGCTGACCACATTTCATGATAGAGGGTGATCGAGCTCAGTGGATTCTGGAGTATTATAAAGGGTGTATTTGGAAATTCATGAGAAACAGCTTGTGTAAAGTGTCGGTTCGGAAGACTCTATTTAGTCCAATAAATATTTCTATGCACATCCATCTTCAGGCAAAAAAAAGTAAGAATGAAGTTTGGATCACACATTTTATTTACACAGACCCAGCTGAGGGTTTGGTGGCAAAAATATCACATTTCTTTCAATATTCATGCAAGAACAGCATGATGCTACAGGTTAACTATAACATTATTATTACTATACAACAGTGCATATTGGAGCGTGAGGTTTATATTTTGAAAATAAGACAATTTCAACTTAATTTGAACAGAATATTCACATTAACCTGTTGATGTACAATTTTCTTACACATGCTGATGTAGACATCAATCACTGCTGCGAATCAACTAAAGCATCCTCTTACCTTCAGCTGGATTCAATCTCACTTTCTACAATAACGCACCTCTTCTGTCACGAGAGAATTTCGGTGTTTACGCCGGATTCAGCGCGTTCATCTCCAAATCTCCAAATCCTCCTCAAGTGTGTCTCACGGCATCAAATTGAGAAATCTCTCAGCAATGAGATTTTTTTTTTCTTCCTCTTTATTCCTTTAAAAAAAAAAAGACCACATTATAGTCTGCATCGCGTTCGAGGAGACACAGACACAAACGGGTCGGACAAGCGGATAAAACACAAAATGTGCTCGGATGATACGCTCGAGGTGAGATGCGCGCCGGGACTGCCTCCAGCTGGAGAGCTGCATGCGCGCATGCGAGGAGGCGCACGAGGAGGCGCCGAGGAGACCTCACCTGAGAATAAGAGACGCTGTCTCCCAGTCAGGCGGAGGTTCCGCTGAGTGGAATCTAGGTGAAGATTGGTTTGGCACCAAAGTTGTAACACTGTTCACAAAGGAACATTTCAAGTAGCTTTTGTTTCCAACCATCTGTCCTCTCCCCCCCCTCCACTCCCCAGCCCCTTTACAAATCAAACATCAAACTATTGAACAATTAGTCAAACGGAGCTAGGTGACACAACATGCACGCACTGCTCATCCGTTTATCCAAGTTACAGATTCTGTTTTGGCCGCTTGCACAACTTCCAACAGTTGTTTCAGCCCTTTTGGTAGAAATCCGCCCAACCTTTTTTATTGCCCTGCAAACTGTGGACGCTATTGTCAAGCGCGAGCTGGACTGAATGGTTTTGACAGTAACGACAAAGTTGTAACTTGTCATGTTGTTTCTTGTCATGCTAACTTTTGTTTGGAGTGAGTGTTTGAGCGGCTCATCAGGAGGTTGTTAAATGCCGAAAACGTTTCGCCGGCCAACGAACTGCAAAAGCATTTTATTTCTGGCCACTCCATTTTTAAGCTCTTGGCATGTCAAAAAAGTGGCTCTCCGGTGGCAATTTGTTTATATATTAATCAATAATAGGCTGCGAGGAAAACAGGCCATCGGTCATTGTGGCGGCACACAATCAAAGCGCTGCTGCTTTTGCTTCAAGGCTGCAGAGATGGCGCCTATTCAGGTGTGTATTTAATTGCGTTCTAAATGCTGTAAGATACACCACAGACTTTTAGTTTAGCAGTGTGAGCATGACTAGCTTGCAGGTACAAGTTGAGTTAATGTTGTATAATGATTTCATCAACCCATCGAGTTTCAGATGGAAACGTCCGCAGTGGCCTTTTCATTGCCCATTATGACTAAACGTTAGGTCGGTTGAGCCGGAGGTCTCTTCTAGCCGTCACAGCAAACTCCCCTGCAACATCAAAAGTGAAAAAGGTCCCTCACGCATCTCATCGCCTCGGCGCGTTAAAGCTACCAAATTTTTGGGCAAAGTTCTTCACTGCCTCCATATCTCCAGTTGCCACAGTCGAGGAGACGGTTGTTTGTGACTCTGTGCTATCACGGCGTTGCCATCATGCAGACACTCTTCGGTGAGAGCAGGAGAATGAGCACATACTTCTAATAAATAGACGTAATGGATCAATTACAATGGTCCATGGCAGTGTCAATTAGACTTAGTTTTGAGTGAAGCTTAAATCCTGCATGTTTAGCTCTGGGTAGCAGTGAAACAATGTAGGCGGGAGCTCGACGCTCGTCTATTTGCACCTAATTATTGACGCGTGAGCCCACGTCCTGAATTGAAAGCATTGATTATGCACCCAGCCGGAGTAAATTGCCAAACAACAAGCAGCCTCAGGGCTCCCTACAAGATATTCTATGCATATCACTGATGATTCCAGCCTGATCTCCAAAACCTGTTTGTAAAAATGTTTACGAAAATCTTGAACATACAAATTTGTGGTGATACATACGAAATAAATACGGACTGCAACTGATGACGTCACCCTATTCAAAGTGAACAGGGACTTTGTGAAGTCTAACAATGTAAAATAAACGTGTTATGATTGCATTTTTAACGAGAAATCAATGTTAAATTGTAAGAATAGAATACTAACCCTAACCCCCTCAAAAAATCCAACATGGCGGAGAGACGTTCACTCAAGAATCCAACATGGTCCGCCATGTTGTTCACTCAAGGAGCTTGGTTAACCACCGCAGTTCGTATGTATTGTTACGAACTTGTATGTTCAAGATTTTCGTATACATTTTTACGAACAGGTTTCGGAGATCACGTTGGATGATTCTGGCATTTATTTGGTAAGGGCTCTGCTCTGAGAGAAATAGCGTAACTATTGGCGTTGAAGCAGTTGGTTTTCACAGAACAAAGTTAGTCAACTTTTTTTATTTTTCATTATTAGATTCATTAAGAGAGAGGGATAACATTTGGAGTTGTTGGATTTTGTAGGTTGCGACGTGTAGTTCATTGTATTTATATTTGTCCCTTTGGAAATCAACTGCAACTTCACTGTTTTCTTCAACCATCGGTTCCTTGCAGATGTCAATGGCAATAAGCTACTGACAGTGTGACTATTCACAGCTTGAAAGCTAAAAGAGGACAATTGAATTTCACCCATTATGTTGTAATGTTATTATCAGGCTGTCATTGGAAGGGACGTTGAAATGGAAAATAATATTTACCTGCATGGCCATTTGTAAACGTTAATAGATTTGACGTTCATTTTAGTTTAAATGCCAATTATGTTGGAAAACAAACATATCTACAGAGCAGTGTAATGGTTTCTCTGCTGGGGGGGGGGGGGGCACTAATGATGATTGTCATTATCTGTTTAATCGGCTATTTACTGTCATGGTCAATTGGCTTGACAACGATGCATAATGATCATTTCGAATTCCTTATGCAGCTTGTTTTTTTACAACCTACTGTTCAAAATCAAAATAATATTTGGCAAACTATCAAATATGACAGAAAGCAGCAGGAAAATCTCACTTTTTGAAAGCTGAAAGCTGAGGTCTTCCGATTGATCAATTAATTGTCTAAGCCTTTGCTCAGACAAGCGGAAAATGGATTATTACGCTTTTATGGCCTCTTTAGAGGCACTGAGCACATTTTGTTCATGTTGTTGCCCGATACATCCAGCTAAATACCCACTCAGTCAGTACAAGAAGCAATGAGCAAATCCCGAGTACTGTGGACGCAAACAAGAATCAACAATTTCACCAATTATTCTACCAAGTCTCATCCCAAAAAAGTGCATTCTGAGACTTAAGCCTGAGCCAGTACATTCTGCTGGCGGGTATACGCTCTTCACGCTGCCGTTTATTCACATATAATGAGTCTGGCTACTGCGATTACGCCTGCTGAGGCTCCTAAGCTCCTAGGAGACGCTACGGTGACCGAGTGATTCTGGAGGATGTCGATTTTTCACAGGGCAACACTCTGTACGTGCCTTGTGGTCTTATGGTCTTATGGAAAATGAATTTGTTCCACATATTCTGCCGTGGAAACACTGTCCTCCTAACACACCTCTTCCATGACAATAAAATATTCGTATCGATCGTTTGCTGTCACAGTCTTGCCAGTCTAGTGTTTGATATAAACGACTCTTTAAAAAGAAATCCCTATAAATATTCATCTTATAAATAAGCAGCCCGTGATGTACAATTTTGCTTGTATAGACTTTATTTCTTTTTAAGTTTTGCGACACCTCCACCAAGGAGGTTATGCGTGGAAGGAACTACCAGGTCGATAATATGAACCTTGGGGAAAAGTTGCAGCACGAGCCAAGGAAGAACCCATTACACTTTAGAGCGGATCGGCCTTCTCGCAGTGTCCTTCAAGTCAGTTTGCTTCCTCATAGCGGTTGTTCTGTATTACTAAAAAAGCTCTTTCTCTCACATTAGTCTGGTGGATCTTCTACTCTCCTTGTATTTCGTTTTGGGAGACCTGAGTGTTCAAGTCCATCATTGCAGTTACAGATGTGTAACTACACTTACCTGTAGTTACACATGCGTACTGCCTTCAGAGTCTCTGAATAATTACGAATATAAGAGTATCGATTTACTGCAACTATGAATACTAACTAATTGAACAACACCAGCAGTAAATCTAGCCATCATAGTTTGACAAATCTGCATGAAACAAACTGATGGCATATTGATCCGTATGGTTGGATCCCTCCATTTGAAATTGAGCTACAGATGAGTTTGTGATTGAGGGTAAAGTTGAGGTGATAATGTTACTGGGAAAACTGTGGTGGTGCGATGGATTGAATCGAACCGCCACAGGTTCATATTTTTAAATTACACCGATGAATATCCCCGCCGATGTATTGAACACGTGTTTTGTACGAGGGCCGAAACAGTGATTAGGGGAAAGTGTTTGAGTTTGCAGCAGGTCCACACTGTGGTCGCACTGGTCACATCTTACGTCCGTTCTCCGAAACTCGGTTTAATTCTCTCTATTGTAACGATCGCAAGCAATTGATGATACACAAGACACGACTTTTGTTCCTCAACTTTTTGGTGCGTTGTGGAATCTGCGCCTCTATTTTGAGTGCCGCTTTTTCCCACTCATTCTGTTTCATTTCTTGCAATGGTAATTTGTGTTTTTTTTATCATGCATCAACATGTTTTATTTATAGTGTAACTAAGTAATTCAAATTTAAACAAAGCCTCTGAATGCTCAATACTATTTCCAGACTTCAGAAATCCGTGTGTGAGCTTGGCTGCGGCCTACTGCCTTTTCATGCAGGTGGGTTTCCATCTGAAAGTATTTTCTGCAGCACGTCTCTGGGGACGGTGACATTACAGGCGACTGCGGGTTTGCTAATGAACTACACATTTCCCCTCCAAGTTCTCGCCACCTTGTTGTGGTTCGGTTTGAATGCCAACCTTTAGATGGAGTTAAATGAATTTCGTCTTCACAGTAGTGACACGGACGGACTCGCTTGAGCGGGATTGCTGGTTGACACTTCTTAGGTGCTGTGAACCTGACCCTGACAAAAAAACAAACCCAAGCAACCTGTATAAATGTTAAAAGGGCGAGAAGAATTTTCCAAATTAAGTATCGCTTGTTATTTTTGCTTTGATTGGGCTACAGTCAATGGCTTAAAATATATGTTTATGTATAAATATATATAGTGTGCAGTGCAGCTTTCTAATTTCACAGAACCAGAATTGGTTTCCACTCTTCTCTTCGGAGCCGCGAGATGACAGATAACGCAGCTCACGGCGGGGGGCATCTCCTCATGTGGGCTCCGCCTGAATGAGCCGTCAGCGGCACCAACCGCCTTGCCTGGCTGGGTGTCACCCCCCCCTCCCCCCCCACTCCCCCCTTCAGGAGTTCTAATCGCACACACAATCTTGAAAACAACAACGTCTTCCTTCAAAGAATTTTTTTTGTTCCACTTCCAGCTCCACTGAGTCCAATCGTCGCATTATGTGGTGCTGCCTCATACCTACACTTCCCCTGGACTATTAAATGACAATTCTATTTGAATAAATGTTGCCATTTTGCCAAATAAAACACCCTGGAATGAAAAATACTAATCTAATGTATAATGATTCAAATCAAGATGAATGATTGTGAAAAATGAATTGGAAGTGAAGAACAGAATACTAATATCTACATTTTTTGTAAATAGATAAAAGAGTGCAAAAAAGTGCATTCACGTCATTAAAGAAAAACCTTGATGCCGACTTCCCAGACTGCTGATATTGCAGAATGTTATTTGAGCCTAAATTTAGGGAGGAATTAATCACACAATGGATTTGTATCTTTTCAGTTGAATCCACAATCAGCTGCTTTTACACTTTCTGAATCTAATCCTTTTCAGACGGGTATTATTCCAGTAATAACAGTCATACATATCATCCCAGTCAAGGCCAAACCATTTAGCAGAGTTTTATTTTGCGTTATTGGCGCTACTCCCACTAGATAGGTCTTAATACAATATAACTGAGTAATTTGTGATCAGCCTTTACTTTGAGAAGAAGAAGAGATGCTGTTAAAGACTTTACCGATTTAGGAAAAAATAATGATCACGATCACGACAAATATAGATGGATCATAATAGTCACTGCTTTGAAATGGAATTGCTCATGGCACGATATTTGCATGGCTATCGGAGGAATACAAGTCGCAGCGATTAGAGATATTTCTAAAGATAACGTTTTTTTCCACTCGATTTTCAACTATTCTCTTCAGAGGGCCATCTGCATTGGTATGAATGTGTGCGTGTAGGTGTGTGTGTGTGTGTGTGTATGTGCGTGTAGGATGCTGCTGTACACTTAATATATTAGGGGGAAGATCTGGCTGCGGCACAGTTCTCAAGGAGAGGTGTAAACAGAACGCACAGCCATCTGCACACACCGACCTCTCAACTAGCAACTACCACTGAAACACCCCCATCTCTCAGATTAACAGGAAATTACAGCCTAAAGTCACTCGCAATTGTCTTTGGAGATATGTTTGAATTAGGAACTATTCATTTTGCAAGGGTTTAAATATGTACAAGCCTTTGTTATCTTGACTAAACATATTATGTACATATGCTGGTTTTCCGCATGATGTCTCAGTCGGCTATTTATTGCATCAAAAAGGTACAAAGAATACTTCTACTACCTTCTGGGAACCAATACATCCATTTGGTCTATCAGACAAAAGAACTTTTCATACATCAATCTATGTGACTAAAACTTTCCAAGCATAATATTGTCACATTTTTTGCACAGCAGAAAAATCAAAACCGTGTATTTAAAATCTACGACCACGGCTGGCAAACAAATGAAAGAGGTCAATCTTTTCGTCTCCCAATCAGTGCGTTGAGATGATGAGATCACGCGGAGGTTCGTGCTTGCAGCTGCTAATTGTTGCACACAAGCATTGGGTCTGATCTTCAACAACAGCAGCCATTCAAAAGGTTCATGACCATGATGAATCCGATGGCCGCGTCCGAGGAACAGTTTAATTAACACGATCTGGTGCAACATCAGATTATCAAATTCAGCAGAGACATTCTTTCTTAAATTTGTATGTATTCTTTATACTTATTGTATTAAACTCTTTTCTCTTCTTAGCTTTTGTCTTTCCTGCAAAAAAAAAAAAATCTTTATTTCACTGATTTTGCTTCTGCCCGTTTCCCGTGGTGGCTTTTTAAGTGCATCGAGTGGATTGTACTCACCAAGAAGATGTGTCCACCTCTCTGTCTGAGCTGCTTTTTTCACCTCTGGCTTTATTCATACTTTTAATGTGCACCCCTTTGGCCCTGTGGGGATTATCTCCGGTGCCATGAATGTGCATATTTATCCTGCTCAAATGCCACAGCCTTGAGTCTCTGATACACATAAACACACACACACACACACACACACACACACACACACACACACACACACCCATACATATGCAAAACCTATGAATATTAAATGAATAATGTGTATTTAAGCCCCTGAAAAATCCAGTCGGTTGTGTATTTATGAGTTTTTTGCTCTTCTGCGCCTTAGTGACTAATGAATGACTGCAACCTGCTTATAATGTTAGTGGTGGTCATCCAAGGTTCTATCTTTTATAAATTCTTGCTTTCATTTATGGCCTCGTGAAGCGTTTGCTTCTTATCTTTGTTGTTAATCTGAATGTTGTCCATAGATGTATTGTCAGCCGCGATCGCTTCGATCGGGCTGCCTCTGCATCTGTTGACACATCAGCAAAGTTGAAGCCGTGACGATTTTCTGTCGAGCTCCAACGGCAAGCTGGTCTGTTTATTTTTGTTGGTTTGGTTCACCATTCCTACATGTGAGGGGAAGAGGAAAGCAACCCTCACCTACCACATTTAGCATCCCGCGCCTGCGGTTGATGCTGCTGTTTGTTTGTTTGTTGTCCATATTACAGAATACTCAATAACAGTTTAGGATAAAGGCTTTGAAAGCTGTATCAAGCTGGCGTAAATGTAGCTCGGCTAATCAAACCAAAAACACAAGGCCGGGGACAGATGGCCGCGTGAGGGAGCAGAGAAACAGAGACGGGGACTGCGGGTAAGAGAGAAGGTGGCTTTTCCTGGAGCTGGTGTACTAGAAGTACGCAACGACAGAGAACAACCGGCTGCAACAACAAACCCCGTTTTAATAATGCATCAAGCGCCTCTCAATGAATCTTTAATAATGAACAAAGCAAGAATAGTGCTTATGTTGGACACTGCAATGTCTTTCGGGCTGCGAAATTGAGATGGAGGTTTGTAAATAGTGCGGTAATGAAATATAATTAACCCAGAATTATACTTTACGAAACAGATTACAGTGACAGTCAGCCATTGTCGCTGGTGTCCAGCGCCTACACAATAATTATGCCGTTAATACACAAACATACTGTTGTGCTTTTTGCACTGTGACAATCCTCGAGACTTCAGTCTGCCCGCTTTCTATCTTCACACCTCACAAAGCGTCATTCGGACTCACTGTCACATTGTGCAAAGCGTCCGCTCGCATGCGTCTCGGTGACAGTGAGACCTGCCAGCTGTTGAGCTGAACTGATGGACGGACGGAGCAAATTGGGAGGAGAAAAACAACGACGGACACGTGTTTACACGTTACACTCATCAGGTCCGCCGCCGTGCAGAAGACCCGAGCAAACACACACCGTGGATATTTGGCAGGAGGAGAAGATGCCGTTCTCTGTTGTCATATACAATACTTTGTATTCTGAGTGGTTTGCTTGAAGCTCGATAGATGGATTGCAGTGTTTATATCGTGTTCAATTCTTTAGGCTTCATGAAGGGGGTTTGGACGGAGGGACGAGGTGAAGGGCTCCGGGGACTGGAACAGAAATTACCTTGTGATTTAGTGTTGGAGTGCAGCTTGGTGATGACACCAATGGAACAATACATTTTTCCATATAGTTGCATGTGGTCATGTCGACTGGTAATCAGGTACACTTTAAATTGATTTGGCCACAGTTTTGTTTTTGTCACCGTATTGGTAAACGATACCGAAAACAAATAAATTCAAATTTTTTTATTAGCTGATTTGTTTTAATGGGAAAACACAATGCCATTTAGATGTCATGACTTTTTTTGGAAATATGTGTATATATTTATATATATATATATATATATATATATATATATATATATATATATATATATATATATATATATATGCATTTATATGCACATTCTTTTCTAATTCTAAGTTGCAGAGGTATGATGAATCGTAGGTGATATTCAGCACGGATGACTCATCATTAAGGGAAGAAGTGTAATCAAATACAGCCAGGGAAAATTTTATGATTCTCCACACCAGATAATTATGTGATCAATATTGAAACCACTTATTTGTCTCAGTGTATGTTTCCACATTCAGAATAAACTGTGCTGCTCCTCCAATGGAACATTCAGGACCAGGATTCACGCGCAGTCGTCTTTTCATCACGGAGGGTTTCGTGTTAAACCCAACACTGCTTTCAGAAGCCGTTGAAAAGAATGGAGACCTGCGCTCACCGCTGCACACCAACAACTAAAAAGATCTCAGATCTCCAAGAATTTGGGTGTGAAAAGCAAATGTGGAAGTGCATTTTTTGCTTTGTGTTGTGTTGATTTTTACTTTGAAGTAAAAGTTGTGAACTAAAACAAGATTTAGTTTTTAAGGTTTTAGCCCACGACTAGAAACGAATGTGCTTTGATCATTAAACTCACTTCAGGCAGATGCCCCATATTTTCTGTCAGTGCGGAATAGGAAAAGCTGTGAGTGACCTCTTTGGTCTTGACAGCTCTCTAACATGTTATTACCAATTAGATTGCCCCTTCTGGGAGAAAAATCTCCCAGTGACATCCTATTTATGTCTGTGCGTGTGCTTCATCCATATTTGTGTGTCGGTGTTAAAAGTTTATTAAGGTGTCAGAAGAAATGGGCCGATGCTCAGGGGGGAGAACCGTTCGGCATCATCAATCATGTGGCCCTGCAGAGGGGAGGCTTCTTCTAGAGAAGCACTTCCTGGGGAAATGGGTTGATTAGGTTCACTCGCAGTACTTTCCTGATATTTAACATTCATGCATTTTATTTGCACATGAAACGTCCATCCATTTGGATTGCACAGCAGTGTTTCTCCTTGGTTTGCAGCTTTGGGGGGCGGATAGACGCCGACACATTTTCTGACGCGCGCTCTGTCCACTGGTGCGAGTGTGCCCACCCGTGTCTGTGTGTGTGTGTGTGTGTGTGTGTGTGTGTGTGTGTGTGTGTGCGGGGGATCTGCTGCTCTAAGATTACATTAAACAAAATTAACCCGACCTTCAAGCACCCCCTCCACCTCCTTAGTATAATATGGTATTGGGGAAACACCGTGCTTAATAATATTGCATTTCATATCTGCCGATAAATCAAGTGTATTCAATTAAAATGTAACACGTTAATTCAACTATAACAGCTCACTGAGGACGGCACAATATAACCGCATTCATTTGGTTGTTTGTGATGCAGTAATAAAACTCCCTAAAAGGAAATCTTGTGCTCACGGAACCAATGTGTTTTTACCAGAGTCCGATACAATCCGCATTTGTCAATTTTTGTAATGACCAAACACATATCATGTTATATATCTTATGCAGACATTTGTAATTTAAGGCTCTGCACGACACAGGATGCCGCAGGAATAATTTAGTTGAAGGTGAGATCCAGAAAATACACTTTGTGTTGATTGAAATGGACATGATTGGATCCTGAATGGTACATCTTTGTAGTATTTATGGGTTTTATAGTGCTTATTTATGGCTTCTTTAGTGTTCACAGGTGAAGTCTCGCCACTTTTATTCCATTCCGCTTTGTTCCCTGAGTTTATCTTCCCTGAGTCTATATCCACATATAGACTGATCATATTATAACATAGTATACGATTTACTGGAGGAACTAAATAGAAAACCAAGCACAATGCTTGTCTGTCGCGTTTCTATCCGCGGACAGAGATGTTAGTGTGAAAAAAATCTGATTTCCAAAGAAAGCCGTCTTCACCACTTTGAGAGGTATTGACTGAAAAGAAAGGTGCCGCTCAATATGTCAGTCTGATAAGTTGGCGACCGCGAGATGAGTTTCCTTGGCTGCTCTTAATGGTTTTGTGGTGCTTTTCAATCAGCTAAGCTTTAGGGTATTAGCCATCATACTCCAAGATATAAAAGCAGAGCTTTTTAGAAGGTGCGCTGGGCTTCATGCAGGCGCTCCGTGCCACTTTTGTTTCAGATTTCAAAGCTCAAAGAGCGATTGATTTTATGTCATGCTGGCCTCCATGCATCCTTTAGAGTCCCAGTAGTCACGAGAAAAGGCTGGCGTTTCATATCGACATAGAAAACGAGGGCCGCATTCAGATTACATTAAATATTTATTCACCAGCTAACGAATCATTTTCTTGCTGTCGTATCGATGCGGTTACATCATGAAAGATCTGAAACATGCACCGCAAACTGATATTACTACGCGTTATCTCCATTAATATGGAGAAAGTAGCAGGCGGTATTAATGTTGTTGATTAACCTCAGGGGACGTGGATGTCAGCAGAAAGACGTTGTTGTTATTGTTCCTCTCCAGTTGGCTCCATGCTTGTCGGTTCTGCCCATCTGTGTTGGGCTGAGCCACAGCGGCTGCAGGGGCCTCGAAAGAACAAAGCGCCTTCCGCGTTATCGCGCGCCGAAGATCATGGAACACGAGGAAAGGATATTGCTCGAACCCGAGCAGCATTCATTCTCTGCCTGACCCGAGATTAAGCGACAATGAGGGGGTTTTGTTTGCAAGAGAAGTGCCGGCGGTTTCCTTTTCTTCTGTCTGAGAGGTCACGGGTTAGCGGTTTCTCATTATGAGAGCAAATAGAAGGCTTGATGAGAATCGTTTTCATTATAGTTTCCGTCGGCTGATTTGAGACACGCGAAAATTATCATGTGCGTAACAATAGGCTTTGATTAGCAGGCCGCCAGATCGGGGATTGTTAAAGTGGCAAAAATAACTTTTCGTCGGTTTTTTATTATGGGTTTCTCTCTGAATGACTGTGTTTTTCAAAATGCGTCTGTGATTTAGTGATTTGCTGTGTTGTGCTTAAGAACACGCGCACACACACACACACACACTGTTTATGTGGACATGAGCAGATGATGCACATTTCACACATACCGTATGATCGGCTGACACGGACTCCTGGATCCTAGCTGGGGGGCAGCTCTTCTTCAGTATAACTGCATCTCGCCTGGCGGAATGTAATTATCTTGGAGCGATTTTTACAAATCCATTCAAGCAGTTTGCCGAGATCAGTCAATCGGGATATGTGTTTACCCCTGGAGATACAAATACTTATCGCTGCATGAACCCCCACTAGTGTTTCAGGTCAGCTAAGTGAAAGATTAAAGAATGTAAGCCCAGAAAGTCAAAAGCAAGCTTGAAATTGTCCTGCTGTTTCCTGGCGATATCCTGTAAGTGAGCAGATTTATTGTATGAATAGCACTGCGAAAGTGTTTGGTATCTTCGTATCTTCATGTCTGTACGGATCCTTATTGCCTCAGTGTGTAATTTAACGGTTAGGATGCCGTTTTACATTTGGTGTCCATTTAGCAATTTTTAGCTTGGATCAAGTTAATGTCATCACGTAACAGTTCATGGGTTTAACTTTGCCAACGTGTTTCTTTACCTCTTTTTACAACCCGGTCTCACAGCAAAACGTGTAATAGCTATGTTGTGGAACGTGGTATTCTCACTATCCCCAAAATCGCAACAATACTACGTTTTATTTTGGCACGTTCATTTACAATCGCCTTGCAACTACGTCACTAGAAACTAATAAATGGAAGGTCTTCTACATTCTCTGATGAAAATATAACGCATACTTCTCGCTAGAAATGCCATCGAAATGCATACAAATGCTGATGCTTTCTTAAAATATTGTGTTTTTCACAGATAATAGACTGACAGTCCGCCATTTTCTTTTTTTTAGCTGAGGGGAAGTTGATAGTCACGTGACCAACTAAAACGTCGTATTGCCAGCCTTCCTCCCAAAAGCGTTAGAATACCACGTTCCACAACGTAGCTGTTACACGTTTTGCTGTGAGAGCGGGTTGCTTTTTACGTTTGATTGAACAAGTCAATTCTGACAGACCGCGTTCCCAGCAAATGTTTTGTGTAGGTGTGGTTGGCTCACCGAGACTCGGTGACTGCAGCCTCATAACCGGTCTGCAGTCCCCCGTCTGTCAGTCTCCCTTTGCGGGCAATACATCCTCATCCAACGGTCCTTACGACGCATTTCTCAGCAGTCGCTCCGACTGAAAGACAGCTTGACGGCAAGTGAGCCATCCCGTCAGAAAACAATCAATATTTTCAAAGAGTGAGTCACGTTTCTTCACTGAAGTCACCAGTCAGCTTCGTGGTGGAATGAGATTTTAATTCAGCGTTTGTCGTGTAATTTCCTGAAGAACTTAATTCAAATCTCCAGTTTGCACCAAATGAGCAACCAGGACGCTCCGTTGTATTCCTTTACTGCAGATCTCTGCTCTGATCGGCTGCGCGTCAAGTCCCCGGGACATCACAGGGTCATCGCCATGGTTACTCCGTGTCATTCACGACATTCAGGGACTCAGTATTACTCGGAATCCTCTGCAAAGATATGAGACCAGTTGGTGAGCGGCAGAAACTTCTCACCTCCCTCTCTGGTCGTCGAGCCAGCTGCCTCTGAGGGTAGACGTACTGTTCTGTGCGCTGTTGTTCAAGTCAGTCATAGAGCAACAGGGCTGCAAGCTGCCACACGTACCGTGATGCAATGCAGCCGGTGTGTAATGCATACTCTTTTGTGTGTTTAATCAAATCCATTCACATCAGTAAATTAGAATAATCCAAGAGACCCTTTTTTTTAGAGAGGACATCTCATTTTCAGTTTCATACTTGGTGTCTAATGAACACCAGTTTTGTCGTACTGTCTGTCTGAATATGACTGTATTCAGTTCAGTTATATGGATGTATACAGAACTCTACATTAAGATAAGCTTCACTGCACTGAAGACCACAGAGAAATCTCAGCTGAGCGACTCCGACATGGCAAGAGGAGTTTGACTACATCAGAGCTACTACGGCTATTAATAGAACAGTGATGCTCTCTCTCTCTCTCTCGCTAGCTCTCTCTCTCTATATATATATAATCACATACAGTATGTGGCTGATACTGTGTGTATAATACTTTAATAGTATAATTCATAAAGTTTATACATTGTAATGTCAGTCAATGCATGATTAGTTCTAACATCTATGGCCAATTATGCACCTTCTTCCCACAGCGCTATCACCCTAAATAACCAAATACTGAACTAGGAACTTTTTGAATGCCAACTAAATTGTTGCATTGTTAATAATCCTATTGACCTACTCTTTGAGTTACTGTTCCTTTTGCGTCAAAGTTTTCCATTTGGGTGATTTGCAAATCAACTGATGTGAATGTCGACAGTCTGTGACAGGTAGAAATCTATTGTTTTTTTGTGCTTTATTTAAAAAAAAAGTTTGATCTTACACACCAGCTCACTTGTTTTCTTTTGTTTAGGGCACCAGGATGACTGCCACCTCGGGACCCCTCGTTTTCATTCTCGAGTGTTGCTTTATTCCTGTTTAGCGCAATTATTTTACCATCCTCCAACCGACCCTTACTTCTCCCATCACGCCAGTATTTAAGTAATTGTTTTCCTAATGCCTAAGCAGTCATAAAATTGTGAGCGTCTAAGCAGAAAAAAACAGGCTTGCTGGATTTGTTGAAGAAAGTTCTGCCTTCTGGCGTTGACCCTGGTGACCAGTCATCAATCACCCTTCACATCTCTTGTCACAGTGTTATATCAAGGCACCTCACTGGTACACCAGTGGACAGTATATCAATATGTGGCATTAGGATTGATTTCGATGGTAAAAAGACCAAATGACTTTAACGTCCCTCATTTTTCCACACAGGTTCTTCAGTATTCACCATGCGAGGTTGCGTTATATTCAGTCAGCTGTTTAGCACAGTCATTGCTAGAAGGTTTAGCATGAGGCTCGCGTTTAACTCAGAGCTTGGCTGTAGACACGTTTTGTGAGTCTTGGCATTATCAGGAGAAGCAGGATTTCGTCTTCACCTGGAAATCATCGGTTGCGCGTGACCTTTTGCATCCCATGTCCGTCCACAGCCAATCCGACACACCGTTTGTTCCTACAGACGGACCTGGCAGAAATCTCCACTCCGCGCATCCTTATTCCTTTATTTGCTATAAAGGAACATGTCATACAAGCATCACATGCTGGCCTGCTGTGAATTGGGCCGCTGGCGGATAGCAGGAAATATGAGATTATTACAACCAGCAGTGGAGCATCCAAACAGACAGCCTGCCACTGTGCTTGTTGAAGCCGGAGCAATACTGGAGGAAAAAAACGGATCAACCTGATGAATCAATGTGACTACCTCAATGCACAACGTGCCACTCGAGGCTCGGCTTTGCATATGACAAAAGACCATTTCCTGCATATTCCTGATACATTTCCCTGTAGGGACAACTTAAGTTGTTTCCCTTGGTTGGCAGGTAAATAATTATAGGTACATCCTGACCTCCTTCCTTGGTTTCTCATCATTAGTCCAACGGGCCCTTCAACATTTTAAATACTTTTAAATTTGATATTTGATTTAGTAATGCATGTTCCATTATAATATATTCCACTTTTTATGCCTCGGGACACCAATGCACCACTCAAACTTCTTTCTTTAACGGAACATTGAGAGGAAATTTATTTTATCATTTATATTTACCAAAAATGTATTCATGCAACTGTGAGGAATCGATTTCAGCTGAGCATCTGCTCCAAGGACGCCGCATCACCTCCCACCGACATGAAAACAATTTAGTGCTTCCTTCAGTTAATCGAATAAGACACACTTGTGAAATAGACACTAGACACATTCCTATCCAGATTCTCTCTGATAAAAACATTTCTTTCATGAGACCTTTCACTGAAGCCGAGCTGTAAAAGGTAGAGGGCTTCACGCTGAGCTGAAATCAATTATTAAGTTACATTATCAAGGTGTATCACGGCAGACAGCTTGAGCCAGTCAAAAAGAAAGAGCAGGGATTTCATTAACACTTTTTTGGGGATGAAGCATATCACATTTAGTTTACCTACGTGTATCTCAGCTATGATATGACAAAATGAATTCCCTCCAGGTCCATTCCCGTGAGACTTAACCTTTATGCTCATCCAGATGGTTCTCAATACATTGCGAGTATTTCATTATCAATCACAAAAGGTAAGACTGCGACAACGCGCTCTTATTATGTGTGCGTTGTCTGTGTGTATGCGACTGCGTTGTAATTACCCGACTGACTAAAAACTCAAATGCCAGAGCGGCGGGGAGGCTGAATAAAGGCAGATCATTAAAATTAAACACAGCTTATTAGCCTCCGCTGAATACCACGGTCTGACCTGTTGCTTTATATTCATCCCGAGTGCGTTAAACAGGACGAGGAAGAGTCTGTGAGGCTGTACTGAGGAACAGTGGTGATTTGAGCTAAATGCTAACATGCATGATTACAAATGTTCACAGTGAGGATCGGAGCCTCATGACGTTCCGCACGTGGGATTTTGCAGGTGTTGTGGTCAGAAGGTATTGCACACATTCAGATGGTTAGGGTGTAGTGTAAAGTTGCATCTTCAGAAGACCGTGAATGTCAGTACAAAGAGCCGGAGCTGATAGCACTGGTATCGGTACTAAGCACTCTTAAGTTAGTACTTGTACATATATTCTGAAAAACACGTCTCACGTGTTGTTGTATCCGTAGCTGGTGCATATCCAAGTATCCACCGGGGGGAGAAGCTATACATACACCTACACTGACAACCAAGTTCACATGAATTCACACCTATGAGCAACACGCCATGCAGCCAGTAGACCCTGGTGCCTATAAGTTACAATTAGCGAGTGCATTGAGTCACATGAAGTATCGGAAAACCAAGTCTGCAAAATGAAGAGAGAACAGTGGATTTGTTTGAAAGAATTCAACGGCTAGATAATCAGCAAAGCCTGTTCAGGGCTTTTCTTTGTGAAAATCAATGAAATACACAGAGGAAGTGTCGTAAAGGGGAGGGCAGCTGGGTCTTTTGTGCCGGCTTCAAACAATCCCCTGAGAACTCCCACTGCAATGGCTGCAATGGCTCTGTTACGGCTTGTCAAAGGGAGCTCCTTCTGAAGCTGTCGCTCTTTTCACATGCAGCTTTCTCTGTGTCAGGTGTTCCTGTGTCCAAGGGGACGCAAAGAGGATATCATCATACTTCTTTTCAGTGATCTCATCTCGTGAATTTTGTACTAGTGATTTTATAAATGTGAGGGCTTCATGTGAGGGATAAGTGATAAGCGGCCACTCAACAACAACAACAACACTGGCATATAAAATGCCACTATCTGCACTTACTGCAGATGTGTGACCGTTGATGAAACAGCAAATTAATGGCTACGACAAAACAATCATTCCCTCGCTACTGCCTCTGTCTGTCTCTAGATGTGTCAATATTGATTTTAGGAATGAAAGATCTTCAAGTAACACTTTTCAGTCCATTTAAGTGTCATTTTATTCTGCCAGATGTCTCTGAGAGCCCCATAGAGTCACCTAGGAAATTAGAACAATTTGATTACCAACAAACTCTTCCCCTCACTTTTTTTGCTCTCTCTCTGGATATTTCTTCAAGGCCAGAGGAATGCCTGTGGAATGCTTACATCTTACGTCAACCTGCAGCCTGAGCTCAGTCTACACTTCCCATTCAAAAAGTTTTTACAAATTAGCGTATTTATTAATTTCATAACTCAAACCTGAATGTATTACAGCCACCTTACATTACACTTTAAACACATGGCTTTACATTTTGCCCAGGGAGCAATTAGGGGTTAGGTGTCTCACTCAGGGACAGTTCAACTTGAGAGATGGGGCAGCCGGGACTCGAACCACCTACCTTGCGGTTCCCAGCACACCCGCTCTACCCCCTGTGCCACCTCGACCTCAACAACAAGTTCAAAATGGTGAAACAAGAAGTTTACAGCAGGGGGCGCTACAGTTAATACATGAGGCACAATATTTTAAGATCAAATTTGGAAATGTGCAAAACTGTATCAGTCTACTTACATCTGATCACTCAGATGCGATTCAGGATGCTAGCTGCAAACAGAAGCCTCTCCTTGCTGCACACATTAACAGTAGCTGTGTCCTTTAGGAAAGCAGAGGCCTGGAGGTCTGGAAGCAGTAATTGCTCATGAATGAAGCAGGATGCTGGCAGGGGGCTTCAGAGTGCACACGGTCCGGAGGGTTATTCACCACAGTACAATGGCACGGTGACTCTGATGACACCAAAGGGAAGAAATCATCAGAGCACCATCCAAGAGAGAAATGGGAGGCAGGAAGATCAGGACACCTGATATGATTCTCTGCTGACAAAGTGCAGGAGCCATACGGCTGTTAATGAGTCTTCGCCTGTCAGATCCAGATTTTAAACTGTTTGATAGCAGACTTGATAACACTGCAGAGAAAAATAAAATGTAGTTTACGTCCTGCACTATGCTTAGTGTTTTGGTCAGAATTTAAGACACGTAAAGGCTGTATTTAACAAACACTG